GGTTGAGGGCACGTCTGTGCCCTTTGGGCTTCTAAAACTGCCAGCCACTCCCAGTTTGCATGCACGTGACCCCGCCGCTCCAGGTTTCCGTTCTGGGGGCTGCATTTCGCTCACGCACGACCCCGCCACTCTGGGTTTCCACCCCGGGGGCTGCCCTAAAGTCCTTTCTCCGCCGCTACTGGTCTGCGAGTCTGTGCCCATCCACAGTGTGCGAGGCTGTCACTTACCGGTGGTGTAGGATCCCCACGGCCAGGCACTCTCCCACTGCCATTTATCCTCCGATATCTGCCCGCAGAATCACGGCTCTCCGCTTCGTACCTCAAAACCAACCGCCTGCAATATTCTGTTTGTAGAGATCCAGATCTTCTTACATCTCAGGCTGGTTTTGTGGGTGCTCAGAGTGGGTGCTCTGGTAGATATCCAGCTCAATTGCGGGGACCAGTTGAAATAGGGTCCCCTACTCCTCTGCCATCTTTCCCCCCTCCTGTTCAAACTTCATATATCTTTCTGGTTCAGTCTTAGTAGGTTGTAGGACTATGAAATTTATCCATTTTTTCTAGATTATCTAATTTGTTGGTGTAAAATTGTTCACAGTAGTGACTTATGATCTTAATGTTTTTCTGCAGTGTCAGCTATAATTTCTCCTCTTTCATTTCTGACTTTGAGTCTTCTCTCTTTTTTCTTAGTCTTGTTAAAGGTTTGTCAATTTTATCTTTTCAAAAAACCAGCTCGTAAGAGTCAGTGATCTTCTCTATTGATTTATTTCAGATCTCTTATTTATTTCAGATCTGATCTTTATTTCCTTCCTTCTGCTAACTTTGGGCTTACTTTGCTCTTCTTTTTTTAGCTTCTGTGGTATAAAGTTAGGCTGTTTATTTGAAATATCCTTTCTTAACATAAGCATTTATTGCTACCAACTTCCCTGTCGGAAATGCTTTTGCAGCATCCATCAGTGTTTGGTATGTTGTGTTCCCATTTGTTTCGAGATATTCTTTGGTCTGCCTTTTGACTTCTTCTTTGACTCACTGGTTGTTCAGGAGTGTGCTGTTTAGTTTCCACCTATTTGGAGATTTTCTAACTTGCCTCATTAAAAATTTCTAGTTTCATACCATTGTGGTTGGAAAGGATACTTGGTATTATTTCAATCTTATTTTGCTATGACTTGTTTTGTGCTCTATTCTTGAAAATGTTCCACGTGTACTTGAGAAAAATGTGTATTTTGTTGCTGTTGGATGAAATTTTCTATAGATGTCTATTAGGTCAATTTGATGTACTATTTGGTCCAAGTCTATCTCCTTGTTGCTTTTCTCTCTGGATGATCTGCATTGCTGAAAGTGATATATCAAAGTCCCCTACTATTATTGCACTGTTGTCTATTTCTCCCTTCATACCTGTTAATATTTGTTAAATTTATTTAGGTCCTCTGATGTTGGGTGAATATATACTATTGTTATACCTTCTTGATGCATTGATCCCTTTATCATTATATAATGACTTTGTCTCTTGCTACCATTTTGGTTTAAAGTCTACTTTGTCTGATGCAAGGATAGCCACACCCCCCCTTTCTTTAGTTCCTACCTGCAGAGAGTATCTTTCTTCATCCCTTCACTTTGAATCTATGTGTGTTTTTAAGGCTCAAGTTGGTCTCTTGTAGGCAGCAATTAGCTGTGTCCTGTTTTTTGTTTTTTCCATCAGCCACTGTGCCTTTTGCTTGGTGAATTCAAGCAAATTCCGTTGTATTTCCATTGTTTCTTTTTCCCTCTGTTTCTGTCTACCTTCATAAACTGGTTATTTTCTGTGGTGTATGCTCCATTTCCTCTTTGTCTCTTGTGGATCCACTCTAGGTTTTTGTTATGTTGTTACCATAAAACACCTTACAGATAAAATAGTCCATCTTAAGCTGACAGCAACTTATGTTCAGTCACCTATTAAGGCTCTCCCTTTTATTCCTTTTATCCCTTTTTACCTCTTTTTATGTTGTGTATTCATTAATGGTTCTTTTTACTATTCTTTTCCTTTAACCTTTATACTGGAGTTGAATGGTTAACGCACCATCCTATTATAGATTACAGTTACCTAACTCTATTTTTCACTTTTACTAGTGTGTTGTGTACTTCCATGTTTTCGTGATACTGATCAGTACCTTTTCATTTCTGCTTAAAGAACTCCTTTCAGCATCTTGCAAGGCAGGTCTAGTGGTAGTGAACTCCCTCAGCTTTTGTCTGGGATATCTTATCTGCAAGATAACTTGGCCAGATACATACAGTATCCTTAGTTGGCAGTCTTTATCTTTCAACACCAAATGTCATTCCACTCTCTCCTGGCCTGTAGTTTCTGCTGAGAAATCTGTCAGCCTAATGAGGGTCCTTTCTAGGTTATGTCCTTTTCCCCCCTGGCTTCTTTTTCATTGATTTTTCAGTTTCATTATAATGTGTCTTGGGAAGGCCTTTCTACATTGAGATAATGGGGTGATCTATTAGCTTTGTGGACTTATATGTCCCAATCTTTCCCCAGGTTTGGGCCGTTCTCAGCTATCATTTCTTTAAATAAACTCTGCCCTCTTCCTCTCTTCCTTTTCTGGAAGCCTGCTTATTCTGATATTTGTCTTACTCTGATAGTTGTCTTTTTGATCCAATCCCACAGCTCTTACTTAATCTCTATTCTTTCACCTCTTCTGTGTTATTTCAAAATCCCTATCCTCCAAGTCATTTATTCTTTCTTCCATCTGGTCTGCCCTGCTACAGCTGCTCTCTATTGTAGTCTTCACCTCATTCATCAAATTCTTCAGCTCCAGAATTTGTTTGGTTCTCTTCTACGGAACAGAACTCATTCTGTTCATGTTTTACTCCTGATTTCAATGAATTGCCATAAGTTTTCTTGCAACTCATTGAGTTTACTCATAACTGCTATTCTGAATTCTTTATCAGTTAGATTGCAATATTCTGTGCCTTTGAGCTTGGTTGCTGGAGAACTGTCATTTTCTTTCTGTGATGCCATATTTCCTTGATTTTTCACATTCCTCGTAGTTATGCACTGCTGCTTTTGCATTTGAAGTAGCAGATACCTCCTTAACTCTGTGCTCACTGCTTTCAGCAGATGGTTTTATGTTCTGTGGTACTGTCACTGAGTTATTCCTTGTGTTTTTGAGGTATACCTGCTCCGCACTTCTTGCTCTCTCGGGGCCAAATTTTTAAGCCTTTGTGTCATCTTTGGATGTTATAATTCAGCAAGCTGCCTCTTGGAAACAGCATTCTAGAAGAGCTATACATAGCTCAGGTTTGTGGTTTTTTCCTTGACTGACTACCAAGGCCTGTTCTGAGTGTGCTCTCTGTCTACCAGAGCTCGCTCTCACACACACATTTGGGAGCCTGTACAAACAGGTGGCAGCAGAGTCAGAGGAAGTGTGGGTTTAACACTCAGGGTTTTGTGAGAGCCTGTGGACCCAGTAGGGAGATCCTGTGTGTGGTACTCCCAAAGACTGTGGCTGAACTTCCTGTTGAGCACAAACCCTCTGACACCATATGAAATTCAGATCTGCCTCCTCCCAGTCACAGAACTCCCACCTTAGTACTGTGGGTGCTGGCAGAGAGAAATGGGTTTCTCCAGCTGTGTTCCATCTGCCTGGGACAGCTAGGAGTTTACTCACCACTTTCCTTTCCCCCGACAGGACAGATCACCTCCACCAACTACATCAGTCCATTCAGTGTTTCCCTGGGGGAAAGGCTGCAGCAGGAGAGTTTCTCTTACGACCTCCACTGTGACCAACTCCTATTTTTGTTTTTCTCTTTTCTTACTTCTCCAGTGATATGCTGGAGTCTTCCCCGCAGGAAAACTGGATTTCTGAGTTCTGTCTCATGCATGAGTACCTGCCCGGTGAGCACTCATCCGATTTTTCCCTGACGGTGGCAAGAGGGGTCTAGGCAGTTGTGCTGGCTCCGTAGCCTGCATGGAGGTCTTCTGTCTCTTATGGGTTGGCAGTGGTGGGCAAGCCTCCTCTCAGGTCCTTTGGAGTAGGTGCTAGGTCCCCATCCTGCCTCCCTCACATTGGATCCTCACAAGGATCCAAACAGGCATTCCTCAGTCTTCATTTCTAGTTCTGACCTCTCCTGAATTCTCTGCTTTTCCAACTGCCCAATCAATAGCTAGATCTCAGTTATTTTAACCTGTCAAACCTTTCTATCAGTGATCTATCTTAGTATAAAGAGTATTCCTTCTAAGTCCTTATATCCCTTTCCACCCTAGAGAACTAGGCAGAAGAGTTAGGGGAAACCAATCTCTGAGGAATCTGAAGGGCCCTTCTCTATTGAACAAGGTCCCTTGGCCTCTCAAGTCCCCAGAAAATAATGACAATAATAATTTTACTCCTCTTGTTACTTTGTGATTTCTGCACGTAAAAGAAGGTGCCCTTTCTCCTTCTCCATGCCAAGGGAGGGTATTTCCAGACTTTCAAGTTCCTTTGGCCCCAAGCACCTGATACTTCTGTCTCCAGGGAGTGCTGTATCTCAGCCTACACTAACCTCATAAAACAACCTCCTCCTCTTCAACACCCAACCCCAGCTCTTGTTAGCACTTTAATGGCAGGTCTGATTTCTCTCCCACAGGTCTCTGACATTTTCGATAAATATTCCCTTATGAAGATCGGGTGAGTTGGTCGCAGTGGAGGTAAACAATGAAACGCTCTTCATGCCAATACTTAAATATGCACAGAGGGATTGACATTTATCAGAATACTTGCATTTCCACTATCCTCATTATAGTCCCATGAGGTAGGTGGAATAAGTATTATTCACAAATTACAGATGAGAAAACAGGCATAGAGAGGGTAAGGGACTGCCTCAAAGTCACATAACTAATTAAATGATGACAAAACTAGCTAATAAGACCCCCAACTAGCTCTCCTAACTCCTTAATTAGTGCTTCATAACCCACGTGATACCTGTCCTTAGTGTCCTCTCCTCTTGTATTCCATCCTTACCCCTTTTCTCTGCTTTGCTTCTTACCTTTCATTTTCCCAGCCAGCTCATATATTTTTCGTGGCTCAGCAGATCGTGTTTCCAAAGCTGTGAATAAACCACCTCTGCCCCAGCGACCAGAGTCATCTGAGAGAAGAAAAAATTTTCATTTATAGAAGGCAAAGTCCAGCCCACAATTCGAAAACACAAAGGTATACCAACTAGCTTTGTAGAAGGATGATTTTTCAAAGGGAAGAAACACCTATGTAGCCTCCCAGGAATATCATAGGTTGGACTTCTCAAAAATGTTTAGGTTTTATGGAAAATACATGGCTATCCTAATAGGAAAGGTGGAGAGTAGACATAACAAATAGCTCAAGCATATTAAAGAGGGCACATACTGAATGGAGCACTGGGTGTTATATGCAAACAATGAATCATGGAACAGTACATCAAAAACTAATGATGTAATGTATGGTGATTAACATAACAATAAAAACACAAAAAAACAAAACAAAAAAACAAATAGCTCAAGCACTGGTAATACAACCGCATACAACTCCCGCTTTACAGGTAAGGAAGAAAAAGGTTAAATGACTTATTTGAGCTGCTACTAACATAGCTGGTAGGTACCTTCTATTGACAGTCATTCATTCATTCTAGAATATTCGTTAGCAGGTATTACATGCAGACACTGCTCTAGGCACTAGAGTCATAGCAGTGGACAATAACAAACAGCTCCCATGAAGTTTATGAGACAATCATATAAACAAATACATAATACGTCAGGGTGGTAATACATGTAATAAAGTAAACTAAGGTAGGAAAAGGAGGAGAGAATAATAAAGGCATGGGGGTGGGGTCTGTTTTACACGAGGCACTCAGGGAGACCTCTCTGAAATGCAGACACTTGAACGATGCTTAATGTGGCTATCTGTGGAAAGAGGGTTCCAGGCAGAGGAAGTAAAAAGTGCAAAGATCGTGAAAGCAGGGAGAATATGCTGGCAGTTTTGTTTTTTCTCAAAAGATTTGTCTCATATATGTCGCCTCCTTTTACTCTCTTAAAAAAACTTGTGCAGAGAATAGGGAATTATCAACCAGGTAAATGGGAGCACTAGGAGTCAAATCTGTATCTCTGGATTCTAAAATTTGCCTTTTTTTGACCACAGGACCGCGCTGGCCCATCAGTCATCCCTGGGTCAGACTTCTGCCTCCTCCTCCCCAGTTCTTGGCATCATAAAGAACAAGGCACCCACCCTGGGCCGGTACCCCTCCTCCTACCTACGCAGTGCACGATGACAGCATCCTCTGCCCCAGCCTGTGGGTGGGTGACATCACCACTAACATACTTGATGGCACTTGAATCTGGATCTTCATAATCCAGCTGCGCAGAGCTCTCCTCTTCCCTGTCCTCTAGGTCCTCTGGTTCGCTCTCCTCAGAAGGCAGGCAGAAGGACTGGTAATTGTTGGACTCCCACCAGGCCATCCTTCAAGAGGCCAGAGAGAACAGGAAATTAACCTGGCCTGTCACAATTTCTCTTGGCGCGCACTTCATCCTGCTACTCACAAACAGCAAGTGCCCAGTGGAAATGCAATTAGACACTCACCCTGATTGCAGTTTTCTGCCTATTTGTAAATCAACAAGAAGTCTCACTGATGAACCTAGCTGCCTCCTGACTATACTTCAATAATGAGCAGCCATCAGATGTCCCTGTTTTTAAGAACAAGATTAAGGTACTGTTCAAGTGAACTAACTCTGTCAGTGACAATAAAACCTTAACATTTTCCTGCTTCAGCTGAATTAGTCTCTCTACCTTAGGCATTCAGGACTTTTTACAAAAGTATGCTGTTAGGGTTAAAGCTCAATCTTTAAAAAAAACATCTATTACCAGAAGGAGCTACCAGTTTTACAGAAATTTTCTGCAATTTTAAAGTGTTCAACTGTGGACTCAGTATACAATAGTGATTCCTTTAAACATGACCCTCATCAGCTTTATGATAATACAATCAAATAAGACACACATACTTTTTCTCGTGTTCTGCTTCTTCCTTTTTCCTCTTCTTCTCCTCCATTATTCTCTTTCTCTTGGCTGCTGCGTCTTGTCTCTTCTTCCTTCTGTCCTCCAGTTCCTCTGGGCTCAGAATCCGCTTCCTTTTGGTAGACCCCTCCGCAAGGCCTGGGTGGAGAACCTTTAGGAAGAAAAAGATCTATAACCAGGAAGGTTGGGGGCTGTCTGTCCCTTCATGAGTTTCATTTATCCTTAAAACACATTCTGTGTGGGACGCCTGGGTGGGTCAGTCGTTAAGCGTCTGCCTTCGGCTCAGGTCATGATCCCAGGGTCCTGGGATCGAGCCCCGCATCGGGCTCCCTGCTCAGCGGGAAGCCTGCTTCTCCCTCTCCCACTCCCCCTGCTGGTGTTCTCTCTCTCGGTGCATCTCTCTGTCAAATAAGTAAATAAAATCTTTAAAAAAAAAAAAAAACACATTCTGTGTGAAAGCAACACACTTAATATTTCACAAAACTGCATCTCCCTGCCCCCTTGTGTGGTGGGAAGTGGTGGCAAGACACTTCAATTTACTGTTCACATTACACATCTCACTGGCCCAGTGATCAGGATATTGTGCTCTAAGCTCAACCAAACTCAGCTCATGGTTGGTATAGCAGTACATCATCTGATTAATTTCAATAGGATCGGGTACTTCAGAAAAGTAATTTTTTTTAATAGAAAGTATACCCTCCAAGAGCCCATTTTAGGTTTAACCATTTTTATTTTTTATTTTTTTTAAAGATTTTATTTATTTATTTGTCAGAGAGAGAGAGAGAGAGCACAAGCAGGGGAAGAGGCAGAGGCAGAGGGAGAAGCAGACACCCCGCTGAGCAGGGAGTCCAATGCGGGACTTGATCCCAAGGCCTTGGGATCATGATGTGAGCCAAAGGCAGATGCTTAACTGACTGAGCCACGCAGGGGCCCCAGTTTAACCATTTTTAAAGGAAATCCTCCTATAATGTATTATATAATTCCTTCTCAGAGTATTTCAACATCATGATAAACAATAGCTAGCATTTAATGAGCACATCCTAAGTGCCAAATACCAAGAACATTACATACATCATTCATGACTGCCACCCTCTGTTAGTGACACAGGGTCAAATGATCAGGAGCAGGGTGTGGTATTTTGGTGATCCCTTCTGGGATGGCTAAGATGGACAGGGCTGCTTTCACCTGCATTAAGTGGAAAAATGCACTCTTCCTGTTAATGTTATTTATGCCAACTTTTACACAGTTTTCATACTAGAGTACAGTTAATTATACTTGTATTTCAACAAATATTTACATACTTATTTCTCAATAAATCACTCCCAGCATCATTTTTTGTTCTCTTAGGATGCAAATTTGGGAGAATTTATTCTTTTACACAAATTAATAGTCCTTACACTGCTTTTATTTCGGAGTAACCGGCCCTCTTGCGTAGTTTTCTCCAAAAGGGTTTTCTGAAGGTTCACCAGTTGCTCAAATGATTTTCTATCTTCTTTACTAGGCTCCTTGGAATAATCTTTACCTTCAAATAAGTACATATGGTTTTCTAAGAACATAAAACACAAAAGAGAAATGTCAGATACTAGAGAAAAATGGATTAATTCTATTCAAAGCAATAAGGGCAAAGAGAATAGTTTGTATTCTAAATGGGCTAAGACTAGCTTGTGATGAAGGTACTGATTCTGGATTCCACTAATACTGATAGGTGGGGATCTCACACATTTACTATTTAAAGGAGAGGGCGTGGCTAATGCCCTTTGGTCCACCTCTAGCTGGTCTGCAAGTCTCTGCTGGATACCTCCACCCTCTTGAATCTTGGGATCACTCATCACCGATTCCACACTACTCTTCAGCATAGGTCTCACTGATATTAAGATCACTTAATAAAAGATAACTGTGATCATAATTTTTTTATTCTGCACATGCTTAATACTCAACTCTCTCCCCCCTTTTCTGTAATATTAAAGGAACAAGTGGCAAATCTATGAGAAAATGGGAGAATCACAAAAATAATTCCTGTGATTTACAATATTCTTTTCGGATCTCATGAAGTATCTTTATGAGACTCCCCACAATCCTGGTATAACTAACCGCACTGAAGAAAGGGAGAAATGAGGCTCAGAGAGGGATTAAGGGACTCCCAGTTCTCACTGCTAATAAATGAAGAAGGCAGGATTTTGACTCAAAAGGTTGCATGCTCTTTTCAGAGCATTCCTGTGTCTGTGGAAGGATGGAGAGTGAACAGGCCAGCACATACTAATTATAGTAATAACAATAATGATAATAATGTAATCTTGAGAGTATTTTATGCTATCAGAACACTTTCACATCTATTATCACATTTAATTTTTCAACTATTTAAAAGAGTAAAGCAGACATTAACAGCACGATTTTATAAATGAGGACACAAAGGCTGAAAGGTTGGGTGATGTGCCAAGATCATGAATCAGTGGTAAAAAGAAGTCATGACAAGCCAAGATCAACAACCACAGAGAGGTGACATGATTCTAAAGTGAAGCGTATTTAATAGCATATACTACCAAAGAATGTATTTTCACAGCATTATGAAATCAGCTTTAAGTATGTTTTCTCTAGAGTATGAAAGCAAAACATTTTCCTTCTCAAGAGATCAATTGCTTCACACTTGTACCCAAATCCAACCAGCTGTAATTCTAATTGGCATTTGCTAATTAAATCAGCAGGGGGCTTTCAATGAGGTGCTCTATCAACAAGTGGAAAAAAAAAAATAAAGAGCTGAGAGGTGTCAAATATGATCAACATATGTAGCTTCATATTGCATGCAATTCTCAACTTACAAACATGCTTTTTAAAAAACCTGACATTCCAGATAAAGCAACCCTATTTTTTATTTGTTTTTGATTGGAATTGCTTTAACTACTGGTCTTTCATATTCATTTATATTATTTCTAATCATGCTCCCTGTCCTCACTCTGCAGCCAAAAAGAGGCTGGAGACCACAGGCCTAGACCCTCATCTATGTCCTGCTAGTAAGTAGAACCATCTACAACAGAGTGAACATGTACTCACTGATCAAAGACAAGATTCCAAATTTTTTTTTTTAAAGATTTTATTTATTTATTTGAGAGAGAGAATGAGAGAGAGAGAGCACATGAGAGGGGGGAGGGTCAGAGGGAGAAGCAGACTCCCTGCTGAGCAGGGAGCCCAATCCAGGACTTGATCCTGGGACTCCAGGATCATGACCTGAGCCGAAGGCAGTCGCTTAACCAACTGAGCCACCCAGGCGCCCAAGATTCCAAATTTTAATACAAGTAGGAAATCTTTTCTGGCAGCACTGACTAAGGAATATAATTATCTTCCTGGAAAACAGAAAAATTTTATTTTGTTCTAATAACATTAGGAAAATAAGCTGAAATTAGATGAGTGCAGAAATGGGTGCAAGCTTTAGTATTTCATATCCAAGTATAACTTCAAAATAGGGTCACATGCATCCATTTCTTCTCCCACCTAAAACCACTAAATGGCAGTAAAGGGATTTTGAAAAGATATGAGACAACAGTGGATGGAAAGTTTAGTAACTCTCGGAAAACGTAAAGTGGCTGAAGCAATGAGAACAGATTAAGAAAAAACGTAGAGGCCAAACAGGAGCCTAGTCAAGGGGTGATTTTGAGAATAGAGACCCTGTCAATCCTTCAAAGGATGTACAAGGACAAGATGCTGGAGAGTGGGGGATCTGAGAGAAATTGTGTACACCCAATAACCGGAGCACCATGAACCCTTGTCATCCACTGTCTCTTCAATTTGAGCAAACAGGTTTATTCCAACCCAGGAAAGATACTAAAGGATTCATCTCTGGAGAAACTAAGTTGCCCAAAGAAAAGACTTCAAATATAGACATCTGGGAAGGCCTCCTCAATGCAGAAGCCAGCTCTCCAACCAGTAATGCTGGAATAAAGACTAAGAGTCTATATACCTGCTCGGCTTTGGGCTGCCTATCAGCGTGGGCACTTCACTGGTACATTTCAGTGAACATTGTTTTCAGACAGCCAGAGGAGACCAGCTATTTCAAGAAAACTCAAGACAAAAACAAGAGGTTCTAAAGCAAATTTTGAAAAAAGCAGCAAAAGCGGCAATTGGAGGAAAGAGAAAAAAATGCAGGGGGCCAAAGAATACTTTTTAAAAAGCTATATAATAGGGGCACCTGGGTGGCTCAGTTGGTTAGCGTCTGCCTTTGGCTCAGGTCATGATCTTGGGGTCCTGGGATCGAGTCCCGCATCGGGCTCCCTGCCCAGCGGGAAGTCTGCTTCTCCTTCTCCCTCTGCCTCTGCCTCTCCCCCTGCTCGTGCTTTCTCTCACTCTGTCTCTTTTTCTAATAAATAAAATCTAAAAAAAAAATAAAATAAAAGCTATAATAAATGTCTCAAGGGAGGACATTATCTGTAAAATGAAAACAGGATGAGATTAAAACCGAGAACAAGAAAGAGTACTTGAAGAATAAAGATGGGATACTAATATTAATAAACTTAAAAAATAAAACATGAGAAAAGTCAAAGAGCTGTGTCCTATAGAACAATACTAGCTGCCTAAATTCCAATCTCTCCATATACCCTATAAAACCACCCCTAATCCATGTCTACTATAAAACGAGGAGTCAGAGAACATTACAAACTTCCATTTGCAGGTAAGTAGAGAAATAAACATCCAAACACCAACGGAGCCAGCTCCCAAGCCCACACTAGAGTGAGGCAGAGACTGGCAGTGTTGGACACAGCCCCCCAAAGAGCGCCACACCCTACATGAGAAAATAATAAGCACAAGTCTCCGACTCGGTAGATCAGAGCATGGGCTACTAAGGAATTTAAAGGAAGGGACCAGAAAGTACATGCTGCCAGGAGTTTGGGAAGGCACTGCTTTTGGAGGAGAAAGAGATATCCTTTGGCAGTTTTGTGGCAAAAAAAGAAAGCAAGTGATGGAAATTGGGAATCCTACAGAAACAAAGAAAATCACAAAACCAGAAGTCATGCCAACCCCACTCCCCACCAAAAAAAAAGGCATCATCTAGTAAAAAAGCTACATGTCTGCATATCTGTGGAATAAGGTACTCTTGAATTAAGAAGTCCAGAGTAAGACCCTTAAGCCTCACCCCATCCACACTGAATCCCTGCTGCCACTGGTGCGTGACAAAAATAAGTATAAGACAGCAGGGAACATCCTTACAAAGCTCTAGGTGAAAAACACTTCAAGTCAGAAATTCAAATACTCAGAACCGAAACAGACAAAAAAGACAAATGCTGACCAAATTCAGAAAAGACAAAATCCTCTCATAATTTACATGTATTGTTTCACTAAAAAATTAGCAGCACCTACACCTTTATGGAGTATGGTGAAGATTAAATGAAAGTACATCATGCGGTACACACTTCTGATCAAGCACAGAATAAATGTTCAACCAATGTAAAAAACAAATCATTCTACTATTCAGAAAAGGAACATATTCAGAAAAGGAAAATGTGGAGGGTGCCATACTAAGGACAGTGGGCTTCACTAACAAAGGAGAAGATGCTTGCAATCAAGGCAGAAATGGTACAAATTACAATGTTTAAGATACTACTACAAGCATTGATATCATTGAGTGGGTTCAAAGTTCAGCTACAAAGGAATAGTCAGACAATTTCCAGTCAGTCCAGGAAGAGTTCTTGGACCAAGGAAGTCTTAAACAGTGTGCCCAAGGGCTGGGTAGGAAAAGATGCCCCAGGGAGCACTATCCAGGACTTTCTATGGGGACCAATCTCCCTCATGTCTAACTTGGGCGGCTGTGCCATTTGCTCTACTCTCAACCCCAACTTACTGCCTTCCTCCTGCTCCCTGACTCCTCCTTCTGTTGTAGGCAAGGCATCAGAGATCCACTGGCCATCTTTTGTTTCTCCCAGGATCGTCTCCAGCTCTATTTCATCCATGGTGCCCCCCTCAGATGACAGCAATTTATCCAAACCGAATTTGAGTATCTCACTCAACTTAAATGGAGAAAATGAAAAAGTCCAGTTAGTTCTCATGAAAATAAGCATTGGGATGTCAGTGATTTGCTACATGGCTTAATGACACAAGGTGAATCCCTTCCCTGTTGGTCAGCCATTCTTCTCTCCCCATGAGGATGACACCAACGGGACCATTTACTAGCTGGATGATGGCCAAGCAGAGAGGTGATGAATACTGATCAGTGAGTGATGTTGACTCTGACAATTCTCCACCACCACAAGAAAAATTAGCCAATTTTTTCCTAAAGAACAGTAATATCCTGCATTATCTACAGCACTTCTCAGAGTCCTTCTCACAGGCACTTCCAGCAGCCACATGAGAAATCAGAGACCCAGTCAGCCTCTCTCCCACTGACAAATTTAGAAGAAGGCTACACTGGGTACTTTCCCTCTACCATTAACTGACTTCTTTCCTTTGGTAATCTGGTTTCCTACCACAGCGCTATGGAAACACCTCTGCAAAGACCAGTAATAAATGATAGCCAGACCTGGCCATTTCTCAATTCTAATCTTCCTGGATATTCCTCTGGCACTACACTATCCTGCCTCTCTTCCCTTATCTTAAAGGCACCCTTAGCCTATTCCGTAGGGATACAGAAACAACCCAAACAATTCAAATAATTTCCCTGGCTTTAGCTTCCTACTTCCAGCTTTGCAACTCCTTAAGCATTAACTCTCTGAGGTTCCAAATCAAGGCAGACTCACATCGTGGCTTCTAGCTCATATCTTACCCTTTTAGACTGGGTCAGTTATCTCCAAATGGTCTAGTATTTGTGAGCCAAATACTGATGGGAACGTAAACTGTTCCCAACACCAGCTGTTTGAGAGGGCTCTATCGGACTTCTTGCCCAGCTCAAGGACACCAGAAGGTTACGTTCTGGCTCTAAAGTCTGCTTTTGGGGCGCCTGGGTGGCTCAGTCATTAAGCGTCTGCCTTCGGCTCAGGTCATGATCCCAGGGTCCTGGGATCGAGCCCCGCATTGGACTCCCTGCTCAGCGGGAGGCCTGCTTCTCCCTCTCCTACTCCCCCCTGCTTGTGTTCCCTCTCTCGCTGTCTATCAAACAAATAAATAAAATCTTTAAAAAAAAAATAAAGTTTGCTTTCTCCCTCCCCCTCCAGACTACACTAGTTATCTCTTTGGTTGCCAAAAACAAAGGTGACAACCCAATGCCCTTGTCTCAGATGAAAGCAGTTTGTTGTTTTAAAATAATCCAGTAATAAAAGATGTGGCTGTGGTTTATTAAATCTAAGAGATATAGGATTCTCAAGTCCTGGAAGAGGGAATCAGGTTCATTACCCTACAAAGAGGCAGATGTAATGAACATTTATTGAATGCTTAGTGTGTGCTAATTATCATCTGAAGTGCTTCTGACTGTTTCAGTGAACATGATCCCTGGGCCAAAATGGAAGAACCTAGGATATATTATAATATGGATTCTAATTTTAACCCAGGGGTTACTACAGAATAACTCAAAGTCCTCTTCCAGAAGAGAAAATCTTCAAGTCAGCGTTTGTTTCCTATCCAATATTTCCATCTTCAAGCAATTTATTCTTTCATCCATTTTTCCTAAAGCAGAATTTTGAATTCCTGATCTCATTTACCCACCTCTGACTATGAAGGTCACTCACTAATCAAAGGGTCTGGGGTTAAGATGAGATATGGGATTAATCATCATTTATTAAGCTGAGTACTTTATCTAATTTTTTTTAACAGTCCTCCGAGGTAACTTGCAGTATTCTCATTTTTTGAAATGCAAACAGAGCACATCTGAGAGGTGAAGATACCTGCTCAAAGCTACATAGCCACTAAGGGACAAGGCTTGGATCTGAATCCAAGTGAGGGGTATCTAAAGCCCGTCCTTGTTATTCCATATTCCGCTACCTTTATATATCATTTTCATTTCTAGCTCCTTGCTTGCATGCAGTAGATACCATGGCAAGTATGTCTGGCCAGGGAACAAATGTGTAGTTGGGGAGAGTGGGTGTTAATACCAGTTCTTTGTGTTTACTTTCTCACCCACAAGAAAGTACTGACAGGGGCGCCTACCTTCAGCTTGGGTCATGATTCTGGGGTCCTAGGATCGAACCCCACATCAGGCTCCCTGCTCCACGGGAAGCCTGCTTCTCCCTCTCCCACTCCCCCTGCTTGTGTTCCCTCTCTCACTGTGTCTCTGTCAAATAAATAAATAAAAATCTAAAAAAAAAAAAAAAAAGAAAGAAAGAAATATTGACAATATGACACCTTTTTTTTTTTTTTTTTGGTTTTTAGTTTTATTTACAAATATTCAGCTAAGTAAAGGCATAGTAAGTGTGGTCAACTAATTACTAACAGTTCGTAGAAAATTCAGTGTTTCTTTTGATTCAAATATTTGGAAAACTTTAATAGATGTAAATTATTTTTCTTTTTGTTTTATATAGTCAATATTAATTAAGCATGCTAATATCTTTTTTTCTTAATCATTTTGGAATATGTAATTGGCTAATTGTTTTTATTAAAGAGATAGCTTTATAACATTTGCTATGATAAAGCCATCATTAAGTAGACACCACCACCTTTCCTTTGCAGATGGCCTACAATCTCCTCAAACAGCATCACCTCACAAATTTAATTTTGATGCCAGCCTGGCCAGTATAAAGCCATTCAGGAATATATTTTTTTTAATTATATTTTATTATGTTATGTTAATCACCCTACATTACACCATTAGTTTTTGATGTAGTTCGTGATTCACTGTTCGTGTATAACACCCAGTTCTCCATTCAATACCTGCCCTCTTTAATACCCATCACCAGGCTAACCTCTCCCCCCACCCCCTCCCCTCTAGAACCCTATGGACTCTGAGAAATATAACACATTCTTAAGGGAAGAACAACATATGATACCTGGAGCTCAGCATCCGCTGCAGGTTTCTGGGCCCCCAGAGTAAAATGGCCTCCCTCTATGACTGTGTTGGTAAGCTGCAGTTTGGAGGCTGCTTTCCTACAGACTATTTCCTCCACAGTGTCTCGGCCAATCAGCCGAATAACTTTAACAGACCTGTACAGAGTCAAAAGAGAGGAGTGTGCTGTGAGGGTCTGCAGAGATGAACACAAGCATACAAGGTTGATATACCTAAAAGGAAACAAATCCAAAATGCTACATTCAGGGTACAACTAAAGGGAGACTGGACTATGCGGACCTAAGCATTTGTTAGAGAGATCTGGCCCCACAGAAGCTTTCCAAGAGAGTCAAGGAAGAGATGAGGAGGGGCCGTAAACTAGGGTTTCTGATGGGAACAGGAGGAAAACCTCTGGTAGATCTCAATTATCCTCTGGTCAAAGGGTAAGGCCCATCTCTTTAGCTTTTTAATGAAGCAAGTCTGGAATGAGAATGTGTGTTGGCCAGCAGCCTTCGAAGAGTCAGCAGCAAAGCTGGGCTAAAACCCAGTGCTCTCTGGCCCTCCAGTCTGGGATGCCACAGGACCAGCTTCTTCACCTTCCTTCCCCACCCGGAACTGCTGAGGAGCCCCAGATGTGGAAGAACGCTGGCGCTGAACTCTCTCACTTGTTCTGGCCAATCCGATGAGCCCTGGCAGCTGCCTGCAAGTCATTCTGCGGATTGAAATCACTGTCGACAAAAATAACGGTATCTGCAGCCGTTAAGTTCATGCCAACTCCTCCTGAAAACAATGCAAAAGGAACGTGATCAGCAGCACTCCGGCTAGGGCTAGAAGAGAAAGACACAAGGCTACAGTGGTATGATTGGTAAATTAAGATCAGTCAAAACAGTTGGCCTCACCCTTCAAACTGACACTCCATCCCCAACTCCAGGACCTTGGAGTGGTTAACAGTGCTACCTGGGCTCATATTGCCTGACTTGGGAAAATTTAACAACCAAAAGTAACAGAATGAGAGGAGGAGGGGCAAGGAGCCAAAGTGCAAGCTGAAGTTAGTGCCAGGAATCCATTTTAAATGGTTTGATTGGTTTGTTTAGAATGCTCTAAAAGGATGCATGCTCTTTCAAAAGAAAACAGTCTTAAATATGCAAGAGGCCTTCTGCTGTGGGCGATGTTAAGAGAGGAGTTAACATCCACAGCAGGTTACAACTAAGGCAGCAAGGTCCCTGATAGAGGCTAATGAGAACAGAGGATGACATTTATTTATTACACTCCTAAGCAGAGCAGGAAACTACCTCCCTCTGACAGGAGAAACCTCAGAAAGCCTTTTCTGTGTTTCCACATGAATCAAAGAGAAGCTAACAAAACCAACCATAGGACAAGAACACTCCATGGGACAACTTTCTCATCCTTCTTCAGCATAGCAAAAGGGCTGAGGAGGCTCTTTGGGTGATGAGAATTAATTAAGAGAACCATGAAAGCAAATTACAGCCTTGTCTTTGATTAATGTGGAAACAAGTACAAAAGGGACTTCCTCTTGCCAGGGTCGTTACAGCTCATTGCTGAGACAAGTGAGCCTGAAAAGGCTTGTTCAAAGAGCCTGAATTAAGGACTAACTTTTGAGATCGGCTACTGACTCTAAGCTGGCTCTCAAGACAAGTCAGGCAGGAATATTCTAATTAAAGACTTCATATAAAATTAAAGTTGGAATAAAGAGATAATAAAGACTGATTACTGAGAGGTGCTAAATTATATCTGACAATAATGCCTGCTTGTGCTGTGCTTACTACGTGCCAGGCACTGTTCTACGCACTTCACATATATCGACCCCTTTAATCCTGACAACAACCTTATGAGTAGTTTGTTATTATTATGGGCATTTTATAGATAGAAGAACAGAAAAGCCAAAGGACTTATTAGAGATCACACAGCTAGAAAGTGAAAGAGCCAGGAGTCAGTCCCACATTGTCTGGCTCCAGAGACTCTGCTTTTACCCACTACACCACAATTATCTCCCAGGTACTTATTTCATTAAAGTGTGCTCCATAAAAATTATCATCTTCTCCCAGGGTTAATGTCTCAGTTCAGCTCTTCTTCATTAAGGGGTGATGTCTTACAAATAAGCTATTCTCCAGTCTTGTTTGGGACATATCATGAGCTATCACTGCCACCTGGTGGCAAGACGCTTCAATCACAGAAACATTTGAAAGTTGGAGGGAAACCTGTTAAATGAAATGATAGTACTACTAATCTACAGCTAAAAAGTAAGGGCAAACATGACTATTAGTGTTTGGAAAAGGCTCATGTCCAGGACTGCTTCAGTTCTCAAAAGATTACCCTGTGCTGATTCTGCTTCTGAGTACTCCAAAGGGCTGACTCTTTCTTCCTAATTTTAGACCCTTCAAACATAACGCTACTCTCTGAATATGATGAACTCTAGGTCTGACCTAGAGTTCAGAATCATGATTTTAAAGATACTAGCTGGGCTTGAAAAAAGCATGGAAGTTATTAGAGAAATGCTTTCTGGAGAAATAAAAAAACTAAAATCTAACCAAGTCGAAATCAAAAAGGCTATTAATGAGGTGAAATCAAAAATGGGGGCACTAACTGCTAGGATAAATGAGTCAGAAGAGAGAATCAATGATATAGAAGACCAAATGATGGAAAATAAAGAAGCTGAGAAAAAGAGAGATAAATAACTACTGGATCACGAGGGCAGAATTTGAGAGATAAGCGATACCATAAGACGAAACAACATTAGAACAACTGGGATCCCAGAAGAAGAAGAAAGGGAGAGAGGGGCAGAAGGTATATTGGAGCAAATTATAGCAGAGAACTTCCCTAATTTGGGGAAGGAAACAGGCATCAAAATCCAGGAGGCACAGAGAGCCCCTCTCAAAATCAATAAAAATAAGTCAACAACCCGACATCTAATCGTAAAAATTACGAGTCTCAGAGACAAAGAGAAAATCCTGAAGGCAGCTCGGGACAAGAGATCTGTAACCTACAATGGTAGAAACATTAGACTGGCAAAAGACCTATCCACAGAGACCTGATAGGCCAGAAAAGACTGGCAGGATATATTCAGAGCACTAAACGAGAAAAATATGCAGCCAAGAATACTAGATCCAGCTAGGCTGTCATTGAAAATACCAGGACAAACAAAAACTAAAGGAATTTGCAAACACAAAACCAGCCCTACAAGAAATATTGAAAGGGGTCCTCTAAGCAAAGAGAGAGCCTAAAAGCAACATAGACCAGAAAGGAACAGAGACAATATACAGTAACAGTCACCTCACAGGCAATACAATGGCACTAAATTCCTATCTTTCAATAGTTACCCTGAATGTAAATGGGCTAAATGCCCCAATCAAAAGACACAGGCTATCAGATTGGATTAAAAAACAAGACCCATCGATATGCTGTCTGCAAGAGACTCATTTTAGACCCAAAGACCCCCCCAGATTGAAAGTAAGGGGGTGGAAAACCATTTACCATGCTAATGGACACCAAAAGAAAGCCAGGGTGGCAATCCTTATATCAGACAAATTAGATTTTAAGCCAAAGACTGTAATAAGAGATGAGGAAGGACACTATATCCTACTTAAAGGGTCTATCCAACAAGAAGATCCACAACTGTAAGTATCTATGCCCCTAACATGGGAGCAGCCAATTATATAAGCCAATTAATAACAAAAGCAAAGAAACACATTGATAACAATACAATAATAGTGGGGGACTTTAATACCCCCTCACTGAAATGGACAGATCATCTAAGCAAAAGATCAACAAGGAAATTAAGACTTTAAATGACACACTGGACCAAATGGACTTCACAGATCTATTCAGAACATTCCATCCCAAAGCAACAGAATACACATTCTTCTCTAGTGCCCATGGAACATTCTACAGAACAGATCACATCCTAGGTCACATATCAGGTCTCAACCGGTACCAAAAGATTGGGATCATTCCCTGCATATTTGCAGACCACAATGCTTTGAAACTAGAACTCAATCACAAGAGGAAAGTCAGAAAGAACTCAAATACATGGAGGCTAAAGAACACTAAAGAACGAATGGGTCAGCCAGGAAATTAAAGAAGAATTAAAAAAATTCATGGAAACCAATGAAAATGAAAACACAACTGTTCAAAATGTTTGGGATGCAGCAAAGGTAGTCCTAATACAGTCCTTTCTCAAGAAACAAGAAAGGTCTCAAGTACACAACCTAACCCTACACATTAAGGAGCTAGAGAAAAAAACAAATAAAGCCTAAGGAGAAGCCAGCAGGAGAAGAGAAATAATAAAGATCAGTGCGGAAATCAATAAAATAGAAACCAAAAGAACAGCAGAACAGATCAACGAGACTAGGAGCTGGTTCTTTGAAAGAATTAACGAGATTGATAAACCCCTGGCCAGACTTATCAAAAAGAAAAGAATGGACCCAAATCCATAAAATCATGAATGAAAGAGGAGAGATCACAACCAACAACAAAGAAATACAAACAATTATAAGAACATATTATGAGCAACTATATGCCAGCAAATTAGATAATCCAGAAGAAATTGAGGCATTCCTAGAGATGTATAAACTACCAAAGCTGAATCAGGAAGAAATAGAAAACCTGAACAGACTTATAACCACTAAGGAAATTGAAGCAGTCATCAAAAATCTCCCAACAAACAAAAGCCCAGGGCCAGATGGCTTCCCAGGGAAATTCTACCAAACATTTCAAGAAAAATTAATACCTATTCTTCTGAAACTGTTCCAAAAAATAGAAATGGAAGGGAAACTTCCAAACTCGTTTTATGAGGCCAGCATTAACTTGATCCCAAAACCAGACAAAGACCCCATCAAAAAGGAGAATTACAGACCAATATCCTTGATGAACATGGATGCAAAAATTCTCACCAAAATACTAGCCAATAGGATCCAACAGTACATTAAAAGGATTATTCACCACGACCAAGTGGGATTTATCCCTGGGCTGCAAGGTTGGTTTAACATCTGCAAATCAATCAACGTGATACAATACATTAATAAAGGACAAGAAGTATTTGATCCTCTCAGTAGATGCAGAAAAAGCATTTGACAAAGTACAGCATTCATTCTTGATCAAAACTCTTCAGAGTATAAGGATAGAGGGTACATACCTCAATATCATAAAAGCCATCTATGCAAAACCCACAGTGAATATCATTCTCAATGGGGAAAAACTGAGAGCTTTCCCCCTAAGGTCAGGAACGCGGCAGGGATGTCCACTATCACCACTGCTATTCAACGTAGTACTAGAAGTCCTAGCCACAGCAATCACACAACAAAAAGAAATAAAAGGCATCCAAATTGGCAAAGAAGAAGTCAAACTCTCACTCTTTGCAGATGGTATGATACTTTATGTGGAAAACCCCAAAGACTCCACCCCAAAACTGCTAGAACTCATACAGGAATTCAGTAAAGTGGCAGGATATAAAATCAATGCACAGAAATCAGTGGCATTCCTATACATCAACAAGACAGAAGAGAAATTAAGGAGTCAATTCCATTTACAATTGCACCCAGAACCATAAGATACCTAGGAATAAATCTAACCAAAGAGGCAAAGAATCTGTACTCAGAAAACTATAAAATACTCATGAAAGAAATTGAGGAAGACACAAAGAAATGGAAAACGTTCCATGCTCATGGACTGGAAGAACAAATATTGTGAAGATGTCAGTGTTACCTGGAGCAATCTACACATTCAATGCAATCCCCATCAAAATACCATCCACTTTTTTCAAAGAAATGGAACAAATAATCCTAAAATTTGTATGGAACCAGAAAAGACCCCGAATAGCCAGAGGAATGTTGAAAAAGAAAAGCAAAGCTGGCGGCATCACAATTCCGGACTTCCAGCTCTATTACAAAGCTGTCATCATCAAGACAGTATGGTACTGGCACAAAAACAGACACATATATCAGTGGAACAGAATAGAGAGCCCAGAAATGGACCCTCAACTCTATGGTCAACTCATCTTTGACAAAGCAGGAAAGAATGTCCAATGGAAACAAGACAGTCTCTTCAACAAATGGTGTTGGGAAAATTGGACAGCCACATGCAGAAGAATGAAACTGGACCATTTCCTTACACCACACACAAAAATAGACTCCAAATGGTTGAAAGACCTCAATGTGAGACAGGAGTCCAATAAAATCCTAAAGGAGAACACTGGCAGCAACCTCTTCGACCTCAGCCACAGCAATTTCTTCCTAGAAACATCGTCAAAGGCAAGGGAAGCAAGGGCAAAAATGAACTATTGGGACTTCATCAAGATAAAAAGCTTTTGCACAGCAAAAGAAACAGTCAATAAAACCAAAAGACAACCGACAGAATGGGAGAAGATATTTGCAAATGACATATCAGATAAAGGGCTAGTATCCAAAATCTATAAAGAACTCATCAAACTCAACACCCAAAGAACAAATAATCCAATCAAGAAATGGGCGGAAGACATGAACAGACATTTTTCCAAAGAAGACATCCAAATGGCCAACAACACATGAAAAAGTGCTCCAACATTGCTTGGCATCAGGGAAATCTAAATCAAAACCTCAGTGAGATACCACCTCACACCAGCCAGAATGGTTAAAATTAACAAGTCAGGAAACGACAGATGTTGGCGGGGATGTGGAGAAAGGGGAACCCTACTACACTGTTGGTGGGAATGGTGCAGCTGGTGCAGCCACTCTGGAAAACAGTATGGAGGTTCCTCAAAAAGTTGAAAATAGAGCTACCATATGATCCAGCAATTGCACTACTGGGTATTTCCTCCAGAGATACAAATGTAGGGATCCGAAGGGGTACGTGCACCCCAATGTTTATAGCAGCAATGTCCACAATAGCCAAACTGTGGAAAGAGCCAAGATGTCCATCGACAGATGAATGGATAAAGAAGATGTGGTATATATATACAATGGAATATTATGCAGCCATCAAAACGAATGAGATCTTGCCATTTGCAATGAAGTGGATGGAACTGGAGGGTGTTATGCTGAGCGAAATAAGTCAGTCAGAGAAAGACATGTATCATATGACCTCAGTGATATGAGGAATTCTTAATCTCAGGAAACAAACTGAGGGTTGCTGGAGTGGTGCGGGGTGGGAGGGATGGGATAGCTGAGTGATAGACATTGGGGAGGGTATGTGCTATGATGAGCGCTGTGAATTGTGCAAGACTGTTGAATCACAGATCTGTACCTCTGAAACAAATAATGCAATATACATTAAGAAAAAAAAAAGATAGCAGGAGGGGAAGAATGAAGTGAGGGAAATTGGAGGGGGAGACGAACCATGAGAGACGATGGACTCTGAAAAACAAACTGAGGGTTCTAGAGGGGAGGGGGGTGGGAGGATGGGTTAGCCCGGTGATGGGTATTAAGGAGGGCACGTATTGCACGGAGCACTGGGTGTTATACACAAACAATGAATCATGGAACACTACATCAAAAACTAATGATGTAATGTATGGGGATTAACATAACAATAAAAATTTTTAAAAAAATAAAGCTAGAACAATCTGATGACAAAAAAAAAAATGATGATGAAATCAGTAATGCAGAAATAGAGCTGTTTTCCAACACTGAAGATGCATTTGCCCTGATTCTTCCAGTGTCTCCTAAAACCATCCCTGAGACAAGAGAGAACGTGAATAAATGGCTGATTCAGGGTGCAGTCTATGATAATGGAAGCAAGCGAAGCCAAATGAAACGGATTATACCTCTGTAATACAGAGATGAGACATACACAGGTGAGACAATCTCATGGTCAAGGACTCTACCTAACACATCTTTTATGTACCCTTACAGTATGAGACACTTAATAAATGCTTTCTAAGATGGAACTTTTTCTTTATACAAATATTGACCTCTCCTTAATAGAGGATACAAATCCCTTTAGTGTTCCTGCATCTATTGCATCAAAATTAGGTCTACAGGGCACATGGATGGCTCAATTGGTTAAGCGTCTGCCTTTGGCTCAGGTCATGATCTCAGGGTCCTGGGATGGAGCCCCACATCGGGCTCCCTGCTCAGCAGGGAGTCTGCTTCTCCTTCTCCCTCTGCCCCTCCCCCTGTTTGTGCTCTCTCTCTCTTGCTCACACTCTGTCTCAAATAAATAAATAAAAATCTTAAAAAAAAAAAAAAAAGATTAGGTCCACAAAAAATAAGATAATGAAACTAAGATTCTAGAAGTTCAACACTAATTTAAGGTCGGCTTGCTCCATGACATAAGAATAATTTCATCTCCGAGAACTGATTTCAAATGGCTAAAGCGTCTATAAAAGCAGTGTTTAACTGGTAAAACATTATAAATATCACATAAAATATTTATGACTTAACTCATAAAGATAATGTTAAAAATAATTCTAAAGAGCCGACAATTTCATTATAATCACAACTTTTTTAAAAAAGAGATTTTTATTAAGCTTTTACAGCACTATTCCAGAGCTACTTGAGGAGGAGGGATAAGTAGCAGACAGGTTGTTATCTTACTTCCTAACGTCACAGCTGGGAAGGAGAGTGTTCTCTACTGAATGTGAGTAAAACTTTCCGTGCGATTACAGACATCTTCCGGGACAACCCCAGGTCAGTGGTCAAAGCAGAATCAAAGTCCTTTCCAACAAGCCCTGCTTTCAGCCTTACTTCTCTGAGCTGGCAGCTTAGATAACGTGGACGGGAAACAACCCCATGCTAGGAGTCCAATACTTTGATTAACTTATGGCAACTCCCTCAATTGCCCTTTTTTATGTTCCTTGGTAATGACCTCACCTTTCAGAGACTTAGGGGAAAGCATACTAGTGGTCGGGATGTAAAAGTACTGTATCCCCCCCCTTATCTGTCTGCTTTAGGCAATGCCTGTGTGGCCTACCTGCCCTGGTACTCAGGAGAAAAATAAAAACGGGCTGCTGTCCGAAGTTCTTAATGGCCAGGTGTCTCTCTTCTCCTCTCACAGACCCATCCACACGCTCGTAGCTGTACCCTTCACACACAGAAAGAAAACAGACACAGAAACCCTTTCACATAGTCTTTGAGGAATAAAACTCTGTCGGCTCAAAACCAAATGCTAGTTTTGTCCCTTTTTGTATACAGGTATGCCTCTACTTGAAGCAAATCCCATGGGGAAAAAATCTAAATTTAGGTGACATTTCATTGTTTTACACAAGAACTCAACATAATATACCTCTCTGGGATTTTTAAATACATGCAGTTGATGTATTTGGCGTTTGTGGAGTTAATAGTCAATTCTGACTATCCCAACCCCGAAGCACACTGTGAACCACACTGTGTGGTAGTTTCCAATTCTGCCACGACAGAATTCTTACTAATGCAAGCAGTAAGACAAGCACTGAGGAGCTGGTGAGTGAGCCTGCCCAATGGCCCAGCAGCTGCCTTTCAATGAAGCTTCAGGTTCACCCATCACCACAGACCCCTGTCGGGAAAGGGAATTACATGCTCAAGCCCTGTTTGTGAATCTGGGGATCCCCCAACATGCCAATGGCATTTCCTACAAGTGTCCAATGGACCAGGTACTGTACTGTAGTACTTAGGGGGCATCGAGTGGCTCCGAGAGACCTACCCTGAATTCGTATTTTAAACAGTAAGGTCTGAAGCTGATGCTCCCCCACCACTGATTTCAAGATCAGTCAGTGTTACAGCCTTTTCCCATCATCCCACATACATTTTACTATATATTAAACAGAATCCCCAGGTAATAACTTACATTCCCTATTGTTTATATAGAAAAAACATTCCTTTCCCTTGGTTGATACATGGGATCTCTATAATTTCATCTTTTCTACTGATCCTGAGTAAGTGCTCAACAGTTGAATTGAGTATTGCAAGACACCGAAAGCTCGTTTTTTAGCAAACATTTTCAAAAACACTCAACATTTCTGCAACTCGGATTTTTTTTCCAGTATCCACAGTTTTAAATCACATCGCCAGTGGGAATGTGTGTGCTTATTTCTGCCCATGTGTCTCCACCCGGCTATCAATCCTTGTGTAACACACCTCTCTCCTTACTTTCAATCTTCCTTTGGTTCAGAATAATGTTCTTTCACTGCTTTCCTCTGTAACATCCCCACCCCCCGATTACTCTTCATGGACCTACTAGACTGTTAAGTCTAAAAAAGGCTTAAGCAATGTAGTGGCCAAGGAACGTCACCTCTATAGTCCATGTAGTCTTGGAGAATATCCAACATCTGGGTCATCTGGGAGAAAAGTAAAACTCGATGGCCCCTGGCAAGAAAGAGAAAAGGAAAGGCTACCAACTCTTAAGTTTCCCTGAGGGAAACTTACCAAAGAATACAAGTTTATAAATAAATGAAATACTGAAGCAGAAATACAAATACCATAATCATTTACAGAGACTTCCTCAGAAATGCTAAAAGTTCCACATAAATAACTCCACATGTAGCCATATTCTGCAGAGCTGAAGTTCTCAAACTATAGATACTCCCAGGAGCAAATGCACCAGGGGGTACAGAAAGCCCCAGGATAACCAAAGCACGTCTTTCTGGAATGTCAATTTACGTTCCAATTTAATGGAAAGAAATAAATGCTTTCATTCGAACAGCTAAATAAATAAAGGTATGTGAAGAATAAAATGTAAAAGTCAAACGCACAAAACCCAACTGGAAATCCTGAAGAACTTGTCATCAGCCATCTATAGCCATTCTCTGCTTGCAGGTGTAAAATCACTATCCTCTCATCTACAGCTGTATTGGCTGAAAAGTCTGAGAAGTATCACTTTACTTTAGAGAAGGGGCAGGTGGCATCTCATATCCCATAGGACACATTAAAAAACTTATGTACAGGGAGAGGAAGGGAAAGGAGGAGGCAAAATGAATTAAGTCAAGAATGAAGATGAGCCTACAGTCCCATGTTATCAGGTATTACTTTAAGTTTTCACAAAGAAAAGAAATATGACACTGTCAAAACAAAAGTCTTGTTAGGAAAACTAATTTAATCTGAGCTTGCGATGTGTGTAAAGGAACAATTATGAAGAACTCCTTCAAGACTAGCCCCAAACGTGTGGAAAAGGCATTGAACTTGAGGACCTCAATTCTAATCCCATCTCTGTCATTTGCTGGCTGTGTGACTTTAGACAGGTCACATGACCACTCTGGGCCTGTTTCATCACCTGTGAAATGAAAAGGTTGGACAGAAAATGTTTATGGGTCCTCCTCTACCTCTAACACACTTATACTAGATATATCAGAGCCAATAAAATACATGAAGACATGCAATTATTTGGTTTGCACATTCCTAATGTTGGGTGGTTTTGCCAAACCTGAGGTTTTATGGTTAGTTCAGGCTCACTTGGGACAGTTGTCCCAAAGGGACAACTTTGAGACTCTTAGGAAGCTGGGCTTTTTCTAGACTTCTCTGTCCCTCTGGGGTCCAGGAGGATCAGGTAGAAGCTGGATACCAGGCCACTGAACACTTAGCTGAACCTTTTAAGGCTCCAAGAGTGACTTGGTCTTCAGCTACCCAGGCCATGTCTCTGGGAAAGAGTCCTGCAAGTTCTCTCTGAACCAAACCCTACAGGGGTTAACAAAGGTGCATATTTACTAAGCCCTCATTAAGTGCCAATTCTGCAAGGTACCAGCAGGCAATTAAAAAATAAATGTTTGATGATATCTCTGTCTGTGGAACTAAACAATACAGCTGGAGTAGTAAGATTACTGCACATCAATTAAACAGAGAGCAGATTAAGGCAGTGCATTACCAAGTGCTGGATTAGGATCCTAGGTGCTGTAGGAATTCAGGAAAGGGAAGGATGATTATGGAGGGGATGGGATGGGATGCGATGGGGTGTAGGTGTAGTTGCAGAGAAGGTGGAACCAGAATCAAGGTCTTGAAAAAAAGAAAACTTGGAATTAGTCTCAAGAAATCAGTGAATTGGGGAGCCTGTGTGACTCAGTTGGTTAAGCGTCTACCTTCGGCTCAGGTCATGATCCTGGAGTCCTGGGATCAAGCCCCGCATTGGGCTCCCTGCTCAGGGACGAACCTGTTTCTCCCCCCACCCCCCCTTCATGCTCTCTCTTGCTATCTCTCTCTCTCAAATAAATAAATAAAATCTTTTTTAAAAAAAGAAAGAAAGAAGGAAAGGAAGAAAGAAGTCAGTGAATCATCTGGTTTTAAAAATTACCAGCTCAGAGCAGAAAATGTAAACTGACCACCTACCTGGAATACAGGAATGCAAGCAGCTTATCCAGTAGATGAAGTTTCCCACTGGCCTCAATCAGGTGGTCTCCAATTTCAAAAGGCTCTGGTTCCACACCTGAAAAATAGGGAACCTATTCCCAATGAAGTGTCCCCTGGTCATGGCAGACTTCTTAAGTAGAGAAGCTGATAGTGAGGCTACAGCAAGAGGCTAAGCTCCTTCTAACTGAAAATGGGCCCAAATCTCATCTCTCTTTGAGACGTTTTATAATTATTTGTTTGTATGATAATCTTGGTGCTGCTTAACATCAATCACAGAGCCTGACACCCCCAACATGGTTAATAAATGTCCATCCAAGGAACAAGCCCACTCTTTAGGAAAGGGAGGCACAAGGACATGCTAACGGCCAGAGAACTGAAAATCTGAGACTCTCACTCAGGAAAACAAATCAAGAAATAACGCTTAGATGTATAAATGAGTAATTCTCAAGAAGGGAATGGCAGTCAGAATAACCCAGAGGGCTTCTTTCAAAATCTCCATGTTCCCAATGCCCCCTGCCTTAAGAAAAGATTCTGAAATGCACTTAATTAATATTCTGTGACATTTAAAACAATTCATAGTGCTACTTGCAAATACGCCCTTAAAATGACACCAGCAAATCCTCCACACTGATCCTACCCATTCCAGTGCCCCCATGGCCACATAAGTCCTAGAAGTGTCCCAAAGGCTACCTATTAGAGTGAATCAAAAAAGCCCTTGTTTGAATTAAAATGAAAATACTACATATTGAAATGTGCGGTATTTAGCTAAAGCAGCACTTAGAGGGAAATTTGCAGACATCTCTAAGATGGAGGGGAAGCAGCAAAGGAGGCTGAGAAAGAGCAGAGGTAGGGAAATGGAGATGCAAGAGAAAGCGCTGTTCCAGGAGCCAAAGGAAGAAAGTGTTTCAAGAAAGAAGTGATCAACTGTGTCAAAGGTTTTGAGAGGTTAATTAAAATGTGAACTGACAACCACCGGAGATCACTGGTAAACTTGCAAAGTTGAAGGGCGGTAATGAAAGGCCGACAGCGGAATGGGTTTAAGACAATGGGACATCTAGGATGGCTCAGTCAAGGTTGAGCATCTGACTCCTGATCTCAGCTCAGGTCTTGATCTCAGGGTCGTGAGTTCAAGCCCTGCATTTGGGCTCCATGCCCAGTCCAGCATGGAGCCCACTTAAAAAAAAAAAAAAAAAAGACAATGGGACATCTAATCACAAAGAAATGATCCCTAAATCCAGATTATGAGACAACCCATAAAACAACCAGCACTGAGATTCTTCAAAACTGTAATTTCAGGCAAGACCAAAAAAAAACCCAAAAAACCAACCAACCAAACAAACAAAAAAGCTGAGGAATGTTTCTGGATTATAGGAGAATAAAGAGACAGACAAATATAATTCAGATCTATGACTCGACTTTGAATTTTAAAAGAAGAAAGTCAAAGCCATAAGGGACATTAAGGGAACAACTGAAAAAAGTTGAATATGAACGATATATTAGATTACATCAACAGGAAAAAATTAACAAAAGAAAATGGAGGAACAAACTAGACAGTAAATACAGGCAATGCTTTTGAAGAATTTTGTGAGGATGTTGGCCACAGAAATGTTCATGAAAAGCAATGTGAGAAAAAAGGACATTGTCTCACCATCAAACAGATATGGGTGATCCACACACTTTCGAAGCTGGGACAAGACGTTCTGAAGTTTAACTTTCTTTGCCATCTCATTTTCAAATGCATCTGAAAACAGCAACAGAGAAAGACAGAGAGAGAGATATGGACTACTGAACAAAAACAAAAAAAAACAAACAAAAACTATAAGTTAACCTTACTTATTCAGTAATATATCTCTCAAACCTATATTAACCTCCTAAATTTCACTGAATTGCATTAAGAATTAACAGCATATCCACATGAAGTTTTCTTAACTATCACTTTGTTTTAAGGAAGCCTAACTAAAATGAACTCAGGAGTATGTTGTTACTTTTGCACAATTCTAAATTCCCTTCTTTAACTACTGTTGTGGAGCCAAGGGATAAAATAACACAAAGTGACAGACTGTTCTACTCCTCTCTCTCTGTTCCCACTCCTAATTCCTCTCAGTGAATCCAGTCCAACAAAAAAGCTTTGCAATGTGTTAAATATCTGATGGGGTGGAAAGATGAAAGGCATGACTGGCATACCTAGAAGTGTTTGCTTAACTAACTTCTATGCAACTGGTGGGGGGTGGTGGGGAGAGAAAAGGAAATTTCACAAGTGCAACAACCAATAAAGTCTGCATTACAGTAAAGATACCCCGCATGGTTTCACTGTGGCTGACCTGAACATTATTCAGAATACAAAATTCCATCCCATATTACTATACAAAGCAAGTGTGATAATAAGATATTTACTCACTTAGTACACATATACCCACTAGTAGGCATGCCTAGCATTTATTTTGAACAGTCATCCTGGGATAATAATAAAATCACATCCTCATTTAGTTTCTAAGCAGTCAAGTGCCCTCTGATTACCTAGGTCTTTCATCAAAATGGCCTTGTAGTATTTTTTCTGCAATGCTGACATGCCGTGGTATATCACTACCTCTGTCTTCTTGGGAAGTTCTGTAACTACCTCAGCTTTCACCCGCCTCAACAGAAATGGCTGCAAGAGTTTGTGTAGTTCACTTGCTGTGTAAGAAAAACAAAAACAAAAACAAACCAACAACACAAGAAGAGTAGGATGAAATTTTCATGCCAATTACACATGCTAGACCAGTATGGTTATTTTTCACAGTACAGGTGAACCTTGAACAACATGGGTTTGAACTGCGCAGGTTGACTTAAACGCAGATTCTTTTTTTTTTTTTTTAATAAATATAGTACTGTAAGTGTATTTTCTCTTCCTTAGGATTTTCCTAACATTTTCTTTCCTCTGGCCCCTTGACTGTCAAGAATACAGCATAACACATCTAACACACAAAATATGTGGTCACTGACTGTTTACATTACCAGTAAGGCATCCAGTCAACAGCAGGCTATTAGTAGTTAAGTTTGGGAAGTCAAAAGTTATAGCAGATTTTTGACTGTGTGTGGGCCGTCAACACCCCTAACCCCTGGTTGAAGGGCCAACCATGTTTCTTCCTTCATTGGGTTCTTTTTCCCAACTCCTTCTGAAATTGTTACTGGCTCTCAACTCAAGAACTAGGAACACTCAAAGAACTGGACTGTTATTAATAATCTCATTTACATGGAGTTTTACTATTTCCAGGATACTTCTGCACTTAATCTGATTAACCAGCATAGCAGCTCAGAAGTAGAGGGCCAAGTAATATTGTCCCCATTTTCATAGCTAAGTTAAGCACACTTTATCCAAAGTCATACAGCTGGAGGCTAATGTTGCTATTATTCAAACTCAGTTCTTTTCAGTTCAACTCCCTTGTTCCTTCCCCAGGTATCATGAACTTCAAAAACTAGCCTGAACTGGAATTCCACTGCGTGTTGGGTTGCCAGGTACAGCAAATAAAAATACAAGAATGCAGTGAAATATAAATTCCACATAAGCAACAAATAATTTTGTAATAGGAGTACGTCCCATGTAGTATCTGACTGGGTGTCATATATTTTATCTGGCAACCCTAAATATGGAGGCAATTAGAGGAGGTTCCCCTGGTAATCTTCAGCTTATGGTATGGGCATTTTTGCTGTGAGAAGCCCTTCCAACTCATACTCACCTAGTATACATATCCCCACTAGTCGGCATGCCTAGCACTTATTTTGAACCATCATCCTGGGATAACAGTATGGGGATAGACAGGTTATTCTACAAGGCAGTGGGGCAAAGGTGCAGAAGGAAGAAGACTGCAACTGGCAGCTGTATAAAGGAGGATGGCTCCCCTCCTTTGCTCCCACCACTGACTCATCCCAGACTCTTGGTTTTGGTGCACTGTTGACAGAAACACCAGTGCCGTGTGTGGAATGTTCAGGAGTGGTTTGGGACTATAGTACCCACATACGTTTCTGCCTCAGGAAATAGCACAGAAAGTTAACCAGTTACAAAAGTATATTATATAAGTTACGTGGGGAGGAGGGGGAGGTGGAGAAGCAGATTCTTTCTACTTCTTCCAAAAATGATCCATTAAGTCGTATTGTAGAATTGTATAACAAATGAGAATCACGAATAGCAGACAACTGGGAACAACCTGAGGGATCTAGCATCACCTCAGCTTTGTGTGGCTCTTTATCTCCCTAGAAGGTGCCCTCCGGTTATCAATTCTCTTTCTTTTCTACCTATAACCCCATATCTGTTATACACCAGGGAAGTTTCTGGGCCCAGACTTCTTGGCATGATTTCAAGGAAGGGAACTTGCCTGACTCAGACTCCTTCTCAACATCCTGGTAATGCTGAACAAAATCTCCCACCTGCTCCTTGGGAAAGAGATCAGGCTCCACAAAACTGAGGAGAGAGTAGAGCTCTTGGAGGCTGTTCTGGATGGGAGTTCCGGTCAACAGGAGATTGAAGACTACTGAGAACTCAAATACATAAATAAGTAAAGTAAAAAATTTATAACCTTGGAAAGCAAGACCAAGTTCCCCATCACAACCTTTACCTGTACAAAGAGGGGCATAATTTAATGGGGTGACCACAAGGACATGAAACCAGAAGACTCGGTTCAAGCGGTATACTAGAGATTTGATGTAGGAAATAATACCTCTTCAGTTGTAAGAAGGGGACAAATATCCTGTGAAGGAGATACTGTTACAAGGAGGTTAAGTAAAATCACTGTGTGAACTCTGAAGGACTACATGAGTATTTGATATGGTTATTGTTACTCAATCTTAGTGGGGATTCAAGCTGTATTTTATTACCCACATGGGTGAGTCTACTGAGGCATCAGAGGCACATGGTATCTACTCAAGCAGTTTGAAAAAGCTATAGCATCAGCCCCACCACTACAAGCAAGAAGCAAGAAGATCTACACTAAAAGAATGTACAACTTTAGGGTGTATCACACCCAAAACATCAAGACTTCTGGATGTTTCTGGGCCTTATACAGCCCAAAATGAAAGAAATTCTTTAAATTTTGAGCAACAAGAACAAGAAGAATAAGAGACCAATGAAATAAAAGGTTAGGAAAGACAGTAACAGATATTAGGTTAAGCGAAGGACAACCTCCAAACTGACATTAATAAGAACTAATGCCATTTGAGTTAAAGAATGCAGCAAAAACGGAAAGCCATATCCCATATATGTTATTTGAAATACTGAAATACAGTATGATACATATATACACATATGTATACATACACACACCTTATTTTAAATATAAAAATGCACTATATTTTGGTTTCTAAAATAATATATATGCATATTTATGTGTTTGGGTATTCACCCGCACAGCAAAGGATATGGCAGCTGATATACCAAATGTTAATGTATGCACGGGAATAAGATTATTGATGGTTTTTATGTTTATTCTTGTGTTTCTATATTTTGATTTGGAGGGGGTCATAAGAAGATACTGATTTCGTAGTCAGAAAAGGTAACAGATGCAATAACACAATTAAAACTGATTTGAAAATGATATATTACTATTTTTTTTGCAATCTCCTTTTTTTGTTTTCTTTTAAATTGTTTAATCAATGTCCACCCACTCATGCCTGCTTTGCTGATAGGGCAATGTTTTCATAGAATTTAAGTATGGGAACTGGTCAGAAATAAATGCTTTCAACAACCAATTCACCTTTTTACAATGTGTTCACCAAGCAAAGAGCTGGGGTGACCAAAGAATATGAAGTCAAAAAGATAACCAGGATTGTTGGTCACTACAGTCAACTTATACGGCCACATGAGCTAATGTATTTATTCACAGTAGTCTCCATTTAGTATCAAAACTTATAACTGGGTGAAAAAAATCAAGTGACAATCTCTTTGTATACAGTATTTTTAAAACTTCTTTTTGTGTATGATACTTTGCAAACATTTCCCACGTTGTTAAATATTCTTCTACATAATTTTTCATGGCAGCCTTACTTTGTCAAGGTACTATACTTACTTTGTAAACTGCATAACCAACTCCCTATGTTTCACTACAAATTGCTTCCAACTTTTACAAACAAGCTGAAAACAATATTATAAAGGGGAAAAAAAGGTACTACCCTTTTCCCCACCTCTATCAATAAATACATTTCTTTCCAACCAACAAGTTGTCTGCAATTCAAACCCCAGTTCATGCTTAGATGACACAGAAATTCCTCACATAATCCCTCTGAGACTTAGTTTCCTTATGAATAACAAGGATAGACTCTGGGACCCGCAACAGAACTTAGCCACTCCAAACCCTGGGGTTCCTTTACTACACCTGCTTCTCTTCTCCCATTATCCATTAGTAAACTGGCATGGTAGTTTAGGGTTAGGTGCCAGAATATGACAACCTCTTGGGAAAAAGATACTGTTAAGAGTCCCTAAAAGAGGCAAAAGACATCATAGAGTGGAGGGGGCCCTCCAGGGTATAGCAATCTTTGAGACTGGACTAATAATGGACAGTGACCATATCTGCATTAAAATGCTAAAAACTACAACTTTTAGCCAGTAAACAGAGAATTCAGACCTAAGACTTTCCTGCAAATCACCTCTAAATTTACTAACTCATTTGTTATAGGGCATGATGTTCTAGGACAGGGACCAAACTTCAGTGATGGCCACAGGAATTCTCATATGTGGTCTCATTTGTAAGGTCAGCAAGGAGAAGGGCACTTCTTACTCACAAGCTGTTCCACTGGCTCCTCAGAAAAGAGGGCAAATCTAGGGCTACACTGACATTTCTCATTTCTCACTGTGCCGCAATGGTGCCAGAGATCAAGAGAAGGGAATGAGATCAAGGGTATCACACTCAAAAGTATGACAAAGACAAGAGAGACCAGAGCTAATAGTCAATGGCATGCAATGGGGTCTCTTCATTACTCCATGTGAACTATCAAATCCTTAAAAAAGGTAAATGGGGGGGAAGGGTAAAATATGTCAGATGTATCTGCTATTGCAGACAGAAGAGTTATAAGAAGATTATTTTTAAAGAATTACCCCTCTGAAGATCAAAAGAGAGTTGAAACATTTCCAAAAATACAACGTATTTTATTGAGGTAGTGTCTTATTATTTGATACCCAGATTTCAGTAAATGTTATCTTTTATGTAAAAGACGAGAGGAAGAAGTTAGGCCATATTAAGTACTACCTCTGTCACTCACAAAATGTTTATTTAGCCCTACAGAAATCTGACTAAAAAAATGTTTCAACTTAACTAACTCTATACAGGCCCAAGATAGTATTTTTTTTAAAGAAGTCATACAAAAACTAAGACTATCCTGTGAGTTTACCTCTGAAAGTGTCTTATGCAGCAAGGAGCTTTGGTTTTTCAACCTGTGAGCTTCGTCCACAACAAGAACACTCCAAGGGAAGCTGTGAGAGAAAAGTCCAAGCTTTCAGTTTTGTGTAACCCAAGCATGTATCTCATAGCCAAAAAGTCTTACCATACAACCGGCACTAGTGTTGGAAAGACTAATATTAAGCCCATTCTATTAGAAACACACTCAAATTGCCTTTTTTTCTTAAGATTTATTTATTTATTTATTTGAGAGAGAGCACACACATGAGTGGAGGGAAGGGCAGAGAGAAAGAATCTCAAGCAGACTTCCCACTGAGCATGGAGCCCCACACAGAGCTCAATCTCACAACCCTGAGATCATGACCTGAACCAAAATCAAGAGTCGGATGCAACCCAGGCACCCTCAAATTACCTTCTTATCTGAAAGCCTGCCATGTACAAAAGACAACATCTGGATAAGGTACTAAGTTTAAGGGAATTTGTTTTCCAAGATGGGAAAGATCTGTGCATAAAGGCAGAAAGGAAGGAGCTAGAGACAAAAAGCAAAAGGAAACATTTATGACCACCTACTATGTGCCAGATCCTGTGCTTGGTTGGGGCTTTATGTCTGTTATTTAATCCAAGAGAACATGGTGAATAGACATTATTCTGCTCATTTTACCACCAAGGAGACTAAAGCTCAGAAAGATTAGGTGACTGGGTCAAGGTCATAAAGCTAGAATGAGGTAGAGCTGAGATTTAAACCCAGAAGAAAAATCAAGAGAAAATGGTGTCATAGTAGCTTAAAAAGTGTTTTAGATTTAAAAATGGGAAAGCAGTGAGCAAGATCAAATGTTATAGATGTTCGGGAAGATACATCCTTTCAATATACCATGGAAGTCACTGGTGGCTGTTGCTAGAGCACAAAAAAATTCGAAATATGGAAAAATATGTTATGTATGAATATGTTCCAAGCTGCATTATTTAAAGTAGCAAAAAGCTGAAAATAAATAAGTCCAATTATACATGATGTTTTATTATTCAGCATTTTGAATACTATGATGATTATCTTACAATAAGAAGGCCCATGGTAACTAAAAAATATATAAATATTATGTATCCTCTCAGAAATGAGAAACCATGCAAGAGATAACAAAGTGAAAGTTATAAGATTTTTAAAATTTTTATTTTGAAGTTGTTTTTTTTTTTTAATTTATTTATTTTAACAGAGAAAGAGAGATAGCAAGAGCAGGAACACAAGCATGAAGAGTGGGAGAGGGAGAAGCAGGCTTCCCGTGGAGCAGGGAGCCCAATGTGGGGCTCGATTCCAGAACCCTGGGATCATGACCTGAGCTGAAGGCAGATGCTTAACGACTGAGCCACCCAGGCGCCCCTCAATTTTTATTTTGTTCGCAAACATTCTGTAATCTCATTACATTGTTCTTTTTTTTTTTCTTAAGATTTGAGACAGAGAGAGAGCACGAGAGGGAAGGAAGAAAGTGGGAGAAGCAGACTCCCCACTGAGCAGAGAGCCTGATGTGGGGCTCGATCCCAGGACCCTGAGATCATGCTGAGCCGAAGGCAGACGCTTAACCAACTGAGCCACCTAGGTGCTTATTACATTGTTCTTATACTTAAAAAACTAAATGTATATACAAGGAAGATACACTGGAAAGACAGTGGGTAGGGAAATAAAAATCACTCAAAAATTAGAGAAAGATCTTCAGCAGGTGTTGGCCTTACAAGGAAGATGCCCTCTTCTTCTGAGGCTACAGAGAAAATCCAGAAAACAGGTGCAGAAACAGAAACCTAGTACCATCTACCTATTGAGAGCGATGCAGATGGAGGGAGAACTGGGGGTCCAAAGAGAGTAGGAACTGGGATCATTCCTGCTGGGTAGCACTTGGAGGAGATGCATTTAAGGATTACAAGGAGTAAGTGTCCAACTGGTGTTGGACAGTGGTCATGAGATAAGGTGGCTAAGTGGCCATAAAATAGCACCTGGCCTGTTCGAATCAGCATTCAAAACAATTTAGGTGCTATTTCCTTGGGAAGAACTGGGTATTAAAGTCTTACAAAGAGCAAGCACACGGTAAAAGCTTATCAGTGAAGCAGCCTACAGGGAGATGGATGTGGGCTCGGTGAAAGGAAGGAGGTCAAATCACTCATCAAAGAACACCAAAGTACACCAAAGGATGCCCCCTGGAGGGGAAGAGGTGGAGTGAATTTCAGCACTGAATGGAGAGTGGGATGAGGGAACTTCTAACCCTCTCGACCTGAAGATTTCATAGGTCTGTTATCAAAAAAAATTTATCGTATTTTTCATATTGGTATGTACACCACCTTAATTCCCCACAAAACCTCTTTAGGACAGGTATTATATTACCCTTTCTGGCTCTTCTCAGTGGTGATCTAGTAATACACAAAATAACCTTGTCACGTCTATCAAAACAATAAATCTGTACCCCTGGGGTTCATACTGTTAGCCAACATTATAAATGCCCCCTTATTACTTAGGTTCTTAAATTCACATGGGATGGACTTAAGATGGATGATTTAATATAAAAAGACTGTATTTCTGATGAATAATGTGAAACTCCAGTGCAGTTATATAATTTGAGAAGCTGTCCCTGGGGTTTGTTTTGTTTTGTTTTTTTCTGGAATCAGTATCAGATGTATGTATGTATGTTTGTTTGTTTGTTTGTTTGTTTACTGAGAAGCTCTCTTAAAGTTTCCACAGCAATGCATGCTATATTTGGATATCTGCTTTGCCATTATTAGCAATGTAGCCTTGGCTGGGTTACCTAATCTGTTACTTCCCTCCTCCAAAATATGAACAATAAATAATACCTGCCTACTAGGGTTTTCATGAAGATTACGTAGGATAATTTAAGTACCCAAAAACATTTATGTCCCAATCTTCTAGCCTTTTGAGACTTCCCACATTCTGCCTTGTATTACGGATATCCAAATACTGCCTCTCCCTCTACTGGAGTCTACATCCTCTTAGGGAGCTCTAGAGTTTACTTTCCTGGCACTGCTGGTAACTCCCAAACAGTGTTTTTCCAAAGAAAAGATCTTCAACAAGTATTAGTTGGATATTAATAATAAAAAAAGATAGAGGGAAAGCATATTTTCTTCTTAAGAAGAGTAAGATAACGTGCTCACTTAAATGAAACTTAAGTGAACCAAAATATGGGATGGAAGTCATGAAATTTATGTCTGGGCCTTTAGTATCTCAAAATAAGATGAAAACAGGGGCGCCTGGGTGGCTCAGTCCGTTGGGCAGCTGCCTTTGGCTCAGGTCGTGATCCTGGGGTCTTGGGATCAAGCCCCGCGTCCGGCTCCCTGCTCAGCAGAGAGCCTGTTTCTCCCTCTCCATCTGCCTGCCACTCTGCCTACTTGTGCTCTCTCTCTCTCTCTCTCTCTCTGTGTCAAGTAAATAAATAAAATCTTAAAAAAAAGATGAAAATAGAAATCCAACTCAGAAGAACCTGGATGAGAAATAACATGTAAAATACTGATAAAGCACTATGAAAACAAGTTTCTGAATATTAAAGATGCCCACCTAACCACATCATAACTATGCATTCTACGGAGAATGAAATCCTGTCAACACATCTTTTCTTATGTACCTAAAGTCTGGCTAATGTTTAATTTACATTATAACCGTAGTCCCAACCCTATACTGTAACATATCACCCCTAGTATCAGGTAGTATGAAGAATTACATCTAGGTTTCCTATACTTCATGAGCTGATATGAGAGCCTGAAAGCTAACTACTTAAAAGTATATTTAAAACTCCCTTCCTAACAAGTGATTTTTATAGCACTGACTGCTACTCAGGATATTTCTAGGAAAAGGCTCGAATAATTCACCTCCTATATTATTGTAAAATCTCCAAACAGCAGTCCTGAAAGATGTCTATGCAATTTGCAATGAAAAGAGTCTAATATTTATTAACCACCCATCATGTACACCTTATTTAATCCTCACAACAGCCATCCAAAGCGAGATTTAATTATCCTCATTTCACAGATGAAGATGCTGAGGTTCACTAAGGTTAAGTAACCCAAGGACACACAGCTAATGAGCAATGGGCTATAGTGCAGGCATTCCGCCATGCCACCTGTCTGTAAATAAGACTCATGGAAGACATACCAGGAAGATGTACCAGACACACGATGAAAGAGACAAAGTACTAAAATGTAAAGACATGACTCTCATGACATATTCAACAGTTTCTGAAGCAGTGCAACATACTCACGATTTTAGAAATGATGAATCTTTCAAGCAAATCTGAAAAGAAAAAAGATACATTATAACTAGTATTAACATAACTGATACTATAAACTACTTTCTTATTAGCTAAATCCTGTAGTTTAAGAGTTAAGTCTCATTCATTCACTAAGTAAAAAAAGTTCTGAGCATAATTTTTAAGTAGCGCTATCCCAGAGAAAAAACATAGGCACGAATAAGTGGAAGGTCTTGCTTACAGTGACTGAGTCTTCCCTTAAAGAATAGGAACTTAAAATGAAACTGGATCCGCCCCCCCGCCCCACCATGGTGAATGGGTATTAAGGAGGGCACGTATTGCATGGAGCACTGGGTGTTATAAGCAAACAATGAATCATGGAACACTACATCAAAAACCAATGATGTGCTGTATGGTGACTAACATGACATAATAAAAAATTTTTTTTAAATAATTAAAAAAAAAAATGAAACTGGAACTTAGTGTCCTCTACTCCCATCCCACAGTAATAGACAATGCTTAAGCCCACAAAACCCTTTCTCCTACCTGCCTGCCTCCTCCTATTCACCAGCCAAGTGCCACCTCCCTGGGGAACCTTCACCCTTGATGCACCAGGAAAGAGGGAGAGATAGCCAACTAATTTGGAACACAACTGTCCTTCACTTCCTTTGGTCATGGTCCCTCTCTGAGAATCTAATGGAAGTAGACTTTTCTCCCAGAAAAATGTATGCTCTCAAAAAAAGTTAAATTTAATTCCAGTGGATTCTGCAACTTCTACAGTACCAGGTTAAGAGTTCTTGCTATAGAGAAATAAATGGATACCTCATAGGTAGTTAGCAGCACATGAAAATGTGACTCTTGTTTTAGATCTTGCTGTAGATGGGCTCTCTCCTCCTTGTCACCTGCATACGTTATACAGGAAAGACCTGGAGCAAATCTGAATCCAAGAAAAGAGGTAGATGAACACCAATGCAGAGCCAAAGGGAAGGGTGTACAGATCTGGAAAAGTACATTTCATGGAAGATCAAGGACATGAAGACTTCATGATGTCCTGCAACCAGAAAGAGTCCTGGGCCTCTGGAATCTTATCTAGAGTAAAGGTAAAACTATGAATAAGTTCCTGTGTGAAAAGGCAGAAGGGCTGGATGAATATCTACAAGGGCACTATACTAATTCTAAAGAGAAAACTATTTTTTCCATGTTGGTTACTTCCCATGTCACTGCGAAAAAGATGGCTTCTCCTTTAGTTCAGCAAAATTTACTGAGTACTGATCTTCAAACTGCCAAATAGTAACAATAACATCCATTGAACCTTACCCCCATCAGATTCTTTCTCCTACCTACATTGCCTTAGGTCAGAGTTGTCTGGAAGAAATCAAATCACTGATTGGGACAATATGTTGCTTTATCATATTTCACATACCACCCAGAAAAAAAATCTTAATCAATGTAAAAAACAAAATTGCAGCTACATCTGCTCTATACCTCTCCATCTCTTCTCTCCAGTTGCTCAAAACGGACAAGGGGCAAAGAATCAGAAATGGTCCTTCATCATTTAATCTTCCTGCCAAGTAAATGAAGAGAGCAATAGTCTGGAACACACAAAAAGAAGGCAGTTTTTAACACATTTCCACATGAGAAACAACCACAAAGTTGCCATGACCTTGGAGGGAGCACAAACAAAAAAATAACATACAATCTTCCACACATCTGGAGAGTCATCCATTCCTAAAGTGAAATCATGTAAGCCTAAACAGAATTGCCAAAGAAATTTATGGTACTCAATTACATCAATAGTTCACAAGCAGTGGTGCTCAGTATTTATGTATTGAACCCTGTGATGCAAAGGGAAAAAATCAGGAAAGATTAACAGAAATAAATGAAAACAGTGCAAATAATGCACAAGATCAAGAAAACTCTGAAAACATAAGGCAAGAACATCCAAGATGTGACTACAGATGACCTACTATGTGGTGGTCTCCACTGCTTGCCACACTCTCCAGAGGAAGGATGTTTTCCTTCCTAATTTCCTCCCTCATTTCCTTAGTGTTTTCCTTCCTTCTGCCTGCATTTATAGAGTGCCTTCTATTTTGCTAAGCACTGTTCTAAGATCAAGTATATCATAGTGAACAAAACAGACAAAACTCCTAGCTCTCCTGGAGCATACATTCTAGTGAAGAAAACAAACAATAAATAACACCTCATAAGCATATAAAACAAAAATCTTTGTAAAGCCAAACAGGCATATTTTAGGACATCGCTGTACGTACTTTTGACTAGAAAAGTTTGTTTCTGTGATAAAGAGAGAAAATCACACTCTTTCATAAAACAAAATTTTGAGGAGCCCCCATCCCCAGATGCTGAACCATTCTGAGAAAATCTATCCTAAAGATACAATCCAAAATCCTGAAAAAGCTATATGCCCAAGGATATTCACATGGAGGTTAATACAGCACAAAAAGAGGGGACACCTGGCCATTCCTCATCTGCAGAATATTTACGTTATGATGAATTCTCTTGATGGAATATTATGTAGCCAGCAGAAGATGATTGTGAAGGATATAATAAAATGGATAATTACAGTAACAAAGTTAGATTAATAAAATACAAACTACATGTACGCTATAATGTCAACCATTTAAAACACACTGCTATTCGTTGCTTATGGATAGAGTGTTGTGGCTATAGGGTGGCAGTTATTTTTTAACGAGATTACATTAATTTTATAATGGAAATAATTTCCTTTAAAAAAAAAAAGAATTTCCTTTTTTAACTATCCATCACTTCCCAGCCCAGATTGTACCAGAGCAATCACCCAAGAAGTACATACAGGAATAAAATCATTCTATTTAGCTTTTGCTGAGGATACTATTGAGAGAAAAATTTATCTTTTGTTAGTGTAAACCACATGTATCTACAAAATTAATTTGGATTTACTAGTGAATTCTACCAAACATTTACAGAAGAAACAATGCCAATTTTACACAAATTCTTTTAGAAAACCAAAGGGGACAAAAATTTCTCAATTCAGGGACGCCTGGGTGGCTCAGTCGGTTAAGCGTCTGCCTTCGGCTCAGGTCATGATCCCAGGGTCCTGGGATTGAGTCCCGCATCGGGCTCCCTGCTCCGCGGGGAGCCTGCTTCTCCCTCTGCCTCTGTCTCTCTCTCTGTCTCTCATGAATAAATAAAAAAAATAAAATCTTTAAAAAAAACAAAAACAAAAAAAAACTTCTCAATTCATTCTGAGTCCATCTTTACCACAAAACCAAAATCAAAGACATTATAAGAAAAGAAAACTACAGATAAGTATCTTTCATGAACACAGATGCAAAAATTCTGAACAAAATTTTAGCAACATGGAATTTGGAGGTATAATAGTTTTAGGACACTTAAGGTAGAGCTATATGAACACTCTGGAGAAAGACAAAGAACAAGTGGAATTTGCTGGCTCTGAATGAAGTCAGAGGGATTCCATGTGCAAAGCAAAGGAGACTGCAGGGAGGGCTCTGTACATGATCCGAGTATCTCTTAGCCTGGCTCCCAGAGAGATCCAGAAAACTTACCTTTGTTCTAGTTCCATAATTCTCAGTTCAGGAATGAACTGAGGACCCGATTTATTTGCCTGAGAAACCTGAAGGTGACAAATGAGGTCCTTGAGGGTACCATACTCAGAGGTCATTTTGTATTCCGAATAACCCCTAGATCAATGAGGTATACGTGACATATATAAAGTAGTCTCCAACACGTGGTCAGACAGAATGTTTGTAGAACTATGTGCAGAACTGCTCCAACTGGATGTTTATGTATGTCAGGTCAGACTTGCAGGGGGCAAAAGAGCCTCTAAAGGGATCAATGAGACCTTCACTCATTCTGTCTATTCACTGGTAAAAACTTTTTGGTATGGGGAAACTTATATGTCCATGGTTTCTGATCAAGTGGCCTCTGCTGTATATCCTGACTGCACTGACTTTCTTTAGTATCTTATAGATGAGTAAACCTTGTGTGACTAACCCAAGGAGTGTCTGTGTCCGGACTTTCAATCGATCCAAGCCTTCCACTGACATCTGACAACACAGGGCTATGTTGGTGATCCTCCTGCCAGAATAATCCATCTCAATGCCCAAGGAGGCCACATCTGATTCTCCAGGTCTCTAGACTGGGTGCTCCCACTAGATGACCAAGGCATTTTGGAAGACAGGATTCTTCCTCTGCACTTCTCTAGCATAGCACAGAAATGAGAAGTAGCCCTACCACCCACTGAGGAAGAGAAATAAATAGATCCAGTTAACTAAATAGAAGTATCGCTAAGGAGGGCAGAGGCCATTTGATCCCGGGGAGACAGATATATTTTCATAGAGAAAAACCCTGCCCATTAATTGCAATCCTATGTCAAGTGACACAGTTAAAACCATCCCCATAACTAGGAAAATCAATTCCAAGGTCATAATCTCTTCACAAAGGTTTAGGCATTTCACCTCCTAGTATAAAAACCCACACTAGTAGGGAGCAGCTACAGATAGTGAGAGGCTGTGAAGAGGTATTTCAGCGGAGGTGAACAGCGGTCCCTCCACAGTAACATACCTGGCAGGTCTTACCCAGGCCCATCTCATCTCCCAGGATGCAGCCATTCTGACCATGGAAGCACTCAGCGAGCCAGTTGACTCCCTCCAGTTGATAAGAGCGTAGATGAATCCCTAGGAATAAAAAATACAGCAAGTCTGAAAATCAGCCATTTCAGCACTCACAAGCTATCTTCTAAGACTTCAACTAAAGAACATCACAGCTAGGAAGTTACAGAAATGTATGCATGTGCTGACTTCCAAATAACTTTTTTTTTCTTCTCAAATGACATTTTGAGCAGACTAAGTCACCATTATATCTGAAGCCCTAACAGCCTGTCCATGTCATGGGATCCACTTGCCAGATGAGAAAGTCAAGCTGGGATCTGCCTCTATACTGCCTGGCTCTCGTGCCAGTGTCCATTCTAGGAAGGAGGCATCACTAATGCAACATAACCACAACCAACAACACTTGGATGGTACATGTGTCTGCAACCTTAACTGCAACCATTTAAGTTTGCCATCAGTGGTAAAAGAAAAAAATCAAGCCAAGACTAGATTAAATTCAGCTTCAACAGAGGAGCAGCACCGCTAAGAACTGAAATGATGTTGCACAGAGAATGTTTAACAGTGCACAAGAACAACAGAAAACATCTGAAATCACACTCCAGAGTGCAAGCATATCTCCAGGGGAGCTCTTATACAGGTCTGGTGCCCAATTTTTACGTCTGCTGCCCTGGTTTTTGTGATTGCCACCCAAGGGCTTTCCCGTGATTGCCCCGCTCTGGTGGCTAGGGGGGCTTGCATTCCTGGGTCCCACAGGACTGTAACAATGGTATGCTGCCACCCCAAAGCCCGAAACAGACAGCAAACTGAAACTAAGGAAAAGTCCTACTTGCTAGTCCTAGAAGTTCAGCTTTGGGGCAGGCTTCCCCTTAGGCAGGATCTAGAGGCTACAAAAGTACTCTCAGAGAATATCGGCTGTAGGGTGCCATCATTGCCCTCTCACTCTGCCTCCTTGCTACAGCTCACCAGAATCTCCCAGAAAAGTGCTTATATACTTATCTGTACCCCAATTTTGTCACTGCTGCCCAAAGGACAGCATAAAATTGCCTGGCTCTGCGGGGGGGAAATGGCGGAGGAGTAGGGCACCCTATTTCAACTGGTCTCCGGAATTGAGCTGGATATCTACCAGACCACTCTGAGCACCCACGAAACCAGCCTGAGATGTAAGAAGATCTGGATCTCTACAAACAGAATATCGCAGGCAGTTGGTTTAGAGGTATGAAACGGGGCGCCCTGATTCCGCGGGCAGATATCAGAGGATAAACGGCAGCGGGAGGGTGCCTGGCCCTGGAGATCCACCTCCAGTGAGCGACAGCCTTGTGCGCTGTGGACAGGGCACAGACTCGCAGACCGGTAGTGGCGGGGAAAGGACTTTAGGGCAGCCCCCGTGAAGGAAACTGGAGCGGCAGTATCGCACCTGCAAACTGCAGCCCCTGGGACGGAAACCTCGAGCGGCGGGGCCACGCGCAGGGGAACTGGGAGCGGCTGGCGGTTTTAGAAGTACAAAGGGCAGAGACGTGCCCTGACCTGGAGGCAGGACTGGGAGCGCTGCAGAGGGGCACACAACCCAGGAAGCTGCAGTTTATAGCAGCATGGACAGAGACAGAAACGGAGATAGTGTGGCCTGGAGAGCTCCCTGAAGAGCAGACTGCGATCTCTCTGCTCTGAAGCAGAGGGTTGGAAATGATCTCTTCTGCTCTGACTCCCTGAAGAGACACCAAAAGCCGCCAGGGAACAAAAGACCCAAAGACTGAATCCCGCTGAGCCCATCCCTGGCCACAGCGGGGCAAGGCAACACCGTCCAAACAGGGTTGCCTGAGTAACAGCGTGGCAGGCCCCTCCCGCAGAAGACAGGATGGGAAAACAAGAGGACAGCAACCCTAAGGTCCCAAGAAAACAGGTGCATCTTCCTTGGGTTCTGGTCAATAATTTGGACTCTATACATTCCCTCAAACACCCATCAACAGAATGACTAGAAGGAGGAAGCCCCAAAACAGAAAAGACTCAGAGATTATGGTTTATGCTGCAGATTTACAAATGGATGCAGATATAACCAAGATGTCGGAGATGGAATTCAGGCTAGCAATTGTGAAGACAATGGCTAGAATGGAGAAGTCAATTAATGGCAACACAGACTCTCTAAGGGCAGAAATGAAAGCTGAATTGGCAAAACTTAAAAATGCTATCAGTGAGATCCAATCCAATCTAGATAATCTAACAGCTAGGGTAACTGAGGCAGAAGAGCGAATAAGCGACCTGGAAGACAACATAATAGATAAAAAGGGAAAAGAGGAGGCCAGGGAAAAACAACTCAGAATCCATGAAAATAGAATCAGAGAAATAAGTGACACCATGAGGCGTTCCAATGTCAGAATCATTGGAATCCCGGAGGGAGTGGAGAGAGAAAGAGGACTAGAAGATGTATTTGAGTGAATCGTAGCTGAGAACTTCCCTAATCTGGGGAATGAAACAAACATTTGAGTCCTACAGGCAGAGAGGACCCCTCCTAAGATCAAGGAAAACAGGCCAACACCCCGGCATGTAATAGTAAAACTTGCAAATCTTAGAACCAAGGAAACCATCTTAAGGGCAGTTAGGGGGAAGAGATTCCTTAGGTACAGAGGGAGGAACATCAGAATAAATCAGACCTATCCACAGAGACCTGGCAAGCCAGAGAGGCCTGACGAGACATATTCAGGGTACTAAATGAGAAGAACATGCAGCCAGGAATACTTTACCTGGCAAGGCTCTCATTTAGAATGGATGGAGAGATGCAGAGCTTCCACGACCGGCAGAAACTGAAAGAATATGTGACCACTGAGCCAGCCCTGCAAGAAATATTAAGAGGGGTTCTATAAAAGGAGAAAAACCCCAAGAGTGACCTACAACAGAAATTTACAGGGACAATCTATAAAAACAACATCTTCACAGGCAACATGATGACAATTAATTCATATCTTTCAATAATCACTCTCAACGTGAATGGCCTAAACGCTCCCATAAAATGGCACAGGGTTGCAGATTGGATAAAAAGAGAGGACCCATCCAAATGCTGCCTACAAGATGCTCATTTTGAACCTAAAGATACATCCAGACTGAAAGTGAAGGGATGCAGATCCATCTTCCAGGCCAGCAGACCTCAAAAGAAAGCTGGGGTAGCAATTCTTATATCAGACAAATAAGATTTTAAACTAAAGTCTGTAATACGAGACACAGAAGGACACTATATCATTCTTAAAGGGTCTATCCAACAAGATGATCTAACAATTGTAAATATCTATGCCCCCAACATGGGAGCAGCCATCTACATAAGCCAACTGTTAACCAAAATAAAGAGTCATATTGATAATGATACGTTAATTGTAGGAGACCTCAATACTCCACTCTCAGCAACGGACAGATCATCTAAGAAAATCAACAAGGAAACAAGAGCTTTGAATGATACATTGGACCAGATGGACATCATAGGTAATTACAGAACATTCCACCCTAAAACAACAGAATACTCATTCTTCTGGGGCACACATGGAACTTTCTCCTCCAGAATAGACCATATACTGGGTCACAAATCAGGTCTCAACTGATACCAAAAGACTGAAATTATTCCCTGCATATTCTCAGACCACAATGCTTTGAAACTGGAACTCAATCACAAGAAAAAATTTGGCAGAAATTCAAACACTTGGAAGCTAAAGACCACTCTGCTCAAGAATGTTTGGGTCAACCAGGAAATCAAAGAAGAACTTAAACAATTCATGGAAATCAATGAGAACGAAAACACATCGGTCCAAAACCTATGAGATACTGCAAAGGCGGTCCTAAGGGGGAAATACATAGCCATCCAAGCCTCACTCAAAAAAATAGAAAAATCCCAAATTCAGCAACTAACTCTACACCTTAAAGAACTAGAGAAAAAGCAACAAACAATGCCTAAGCCACGCATTAGAAGAGAAATAATTAAAATTAGAGCAGAAATCAATGAATTAGAACCCAGAAACAGTAGATCAGATCTACGAAACTAGAAGTTGGTTCCTTGAAAGAACTAATAAGATCGATAAACCACTGGCCAGACTTATTCAAAAGAAAAGAGAAAGGACCCAAATTAATAAAATTATGAATGAAAGGGGAGAGATCACAACTAACACCAAGGAAATAGAAACAATTATTAGAAATTATTATCAACAACTATATGCCAAGAAACTGAGCAATCTGGAAGAAATGGAGGCCTTCCTGGAAACCTATAAGCTGCCAAGAGTGAAACAGGAAGAAATTGACAACCTGAATAGGCCAATAACCAGTAACGAGATTGAAGCAGTGATCAAAACCCTCCCAAGAAACAAGAGTCCAGGGCCTGATGGATTCCCTGGGGAATTCTACCAAACATTCAAAAAAGAAATAATACCTATTCTACTGAAGCTGTTTCAAAAAATAGAAACAGAAGGAAAACTTCCAAACTCATTCTATGAGGCCAGCATTACCTTAATCCCCAAACCAGGCAAAGACCCCATCAAAAAGGAGAATTTCAGACCGATATCCCTGATGAATATGGATTCCAAAATCCTCAACAAAATCCTAGCTAATAGGATCCAACAATACATTAAAAGGATCATCCACCACGACCAAGCGGGATTTATTCCCGGGATGCAAGGGTGGTTCAACATTCGCAAATCAATCAATGTGATAGAACACATTAATAAGAGGAGGGAGAAGAACCATATGGCCCTCTCAATTGATCCAGAAAAAGCATTTGACAAAATACAACATCCTTCCTGATTAAAACTCTCCAGAGGGCGCCTGGGTGGCTCAGTTGGTTAAGCAACTGCCTTCAGCTCAGGTCATGATCCTGGAGTCCTGGGATCGAGTCCTACCGTCGGGCTCCCTGCTCAGCGGGGGGGTCTGCTTCTCCCTCTGACCCTCTTCCCTCTTGTGCTCTGTCTCTCATTCTCTCTCTCAAATAAATAAATAAAATCTTTAAAAAAGAAAAAAACTCTCCAGAGTATAGGGATAGAGGGAACATTCCTCAAGTTCATAAAATCCATCTATGAAAAACACACAGTGAATATCATCCT